CAAGTTGGGGAAGGCTATTCTGTATATAGCTATTTGTGCGATTAATGCTAATTTCCTGATTTGTGATTAAACTGGTTAAAGGATTAGTTCACTTTTAAAAAAACTTTTGCTGATAATTTACTCACCCCCATGTCATCCAAGATGTACATGTCTTTCTTTCTTCAGTCAAAAAGAAATTAAGGTTTTTGATGAAAACATTCCAGGATTTTTCTCCATATAATGCACTTTGCTGGGCACCAAACGGTTCAAGGTCCAAAAGACAGTTTCGGTGCAAACTGCAAACTGTTCAAATGGCTTTAAACGATTCCAGACGATGAATAATGGTCTTATCAATTAAGCGAAACGATCGCTCATTTAAAAAAGAAATAACAAAGTTTACGTTTTATAAGCTCAAATGCTCGCCTTGCTCTGTTCTGTGTGACTCTCCTGTTCAAACTCGTTCATAAAAATGAACGAATCTTTTTCCGAGTCAATTCGTTCGTTAAATGAACCAAATGACTCGAAAAAAGATTTGTTCATTTTGATGAACGAGTTCGAACAGGAGAGTCACGAACGTGAATCACAGAACAGAGCAAGGCGAGCATTTGACATTATTAAACTTAAACTTTGTTATTTATTTTTGAAATGACCGATCGTTTCGCTTGATAAGACCATTATTCATCGTCTGGAATCGTTTAAAGCCCTTTGAACAGTTTGCAGTTTGCACTGAAACTGTCTTTTGGACCTTGAACCGTTTGGTGCCCAGCAAAGTGCATTATATGGAGAAAAATCCTGGAATGTTTTCATCAAAAACCTTAATTTATTTTCGACTGAAGAAAGAAAGACATGTACATCTTGGATGACATGGGGGTGAGTAAATTATCAGCAAAAGTTTTTTTAAAAGTGAACTAATCCTTTAAGACCATTAAAAGACCCCAGGAGTGTATGCCTATAATGACAGCAGTTTACCTAAAGGCCTTTTCGTTAAATTCCAGTTCGATCCTGAGAGAAGCGCACGAGCAGCCCACTGTTGCCATGGTTACCTCCTCATATGGACCCTTTGGCTATCTCTGTACTTTACCACGTGAATAATAAGCTACGCAGTACTTTGCGAATGTTTGTGGTTATGGAAACGTTTAAAACCCCTGTTAAAATCTACTTATCTGTAATTATATGAAACATTCATTTTAAGAAAAACAGCTCTGTGTCAATAATTCCTATATTGATTAAAACAGCTCTGAATGAATTTTGTGTGGCTGATTCGTGTTTGTGTTCTCCGGGTTTGCTCACTCTAAAGATATGCATCAATATTTTACCAACAAAGACAGTCTTGGCTCTGCTGCCGCCTTTGGTGTTCCCAGATGGAGGGAAAGTGCAATGTTGAGAGGCTAATGAGTGTGACTTCCTCACGTGCTCGAGCACGAGCGCAGTTGCGCCAGTCAGACAACACAGAGAGGACGAATAGCACAGTGAGTCAAATGATGATTATCATGCTGCACGTTGTAAATCGTCATTGCTAAAAATATGCACGGCTGACAAGGTGTGGTGCTTTCTGGAGAGTCGAGATTATTATTAATAATAATCTCGACTCTCCAGAAAGCACCACCTTAATTAAGGTTTTGACGGGTCACTCATTTTAAAACGAACAGGCTAATAACGTAGCCTAAATAATGTTCTTATTGCATAAATATTATTTCTTTATTTATTCTTAATCAGGAATAAATAAAATATTAAATAAATATTAACGAAAGTTACTGCAATAGTTTTGGGCAGGCCTACTATTCAGCACCTTCAGCACCCACAGGCTTTGAACATCGAATTGAACATTCTTTGAACTTTGTTGCAGGTAAACCATGTAAATAGGCCACCACCCTATACAAAAAAGTACTGTGACAGACAGTACCACCAAGCTAATAATATAGCAGGCCTACTGAAATTCATTATCTGTTCTAAAAACTTGTAGTTAAAAGCATTTAGTGCTGAATGCGTAACGTTACGTAGGCCTAGCACTTATGCTTTTGTCATTCAGAATCAGAATGAGCTTTATTGCCAAATGTATTGCCAAATGCTTACACAGACAGGGGATTTGTCTTGGTGAAAGAAGCTTCCAGTGCACAGACAGAATGACAGCAATACACAGATAATAAAAGTAAAATTTGTATGTGTGAATAAAAGTGAATACAATAGACAAAATAGACAAAAATGTTATATGCAATGCAAGGGAATGTGCTGTAAAAAAATTGCTGCCTTAAATTAAGTTTAATCAACTTGGATGTTCAAGTCATTTCAACTTAAATTACGTTAAACTGGCTTTAAAAACGAATGTAATCTTGTATAACTCATAATTTTTTTTTTAAAATTGCATAACTTATTTTGATATTAAGTTAAATCAATGTAAAAACATATGTTGTCATAACTTAATCATATAATTTTTTACAGGCTAGATGTGGTACGGTAAATAGGCTAAATATGATACAAATGGTATGGCTATGCATGGCTTTGCTATAGCCGATCAATAGGCCTGCATGTTCATGACTTCATAAAAGCCTAAATCATGATAAAACATTTTAAACAGCAGCTAAATCTTTAATTCTGCTGTATTCAATTGTGATCATGCTCAATCAGCCTTTGGCTTTAAACATTTAAATTGGGCGTGATATAACTTCAAAACTAAAATACAACTTTCAAAACAAGATATATCAAAATTGTACTCAAAATAACTCGATGTTAATTTATATCTTTGCATTATGGCACAGCCTAAACTCGAAGTTGACACAAAAACAATATTATTGATATAAGAGTTAGGCTATTTGCTGGTATCAGGTCAGTTTATTTATTTTAAATCTAGTAGCACTGACCAAGATATAACAGACCTGCTGGTCGGCATCCTACACCGGTAGGCCTACGTTGCATGTGAGTTGCGGCACGGTGCGCGGACGGAGTGGTTTTGCATGTGAACTCAGCGACTTGTCAAACTCAGTAGTGCCTTTGCTGTGAGACGCGGGAGTCTGCGTGTGCAGCTATAGTCCACTCATGCGATTAAGTGGTGTGCGCGCCTGGTCTCATGGTGTTTGATGCAGGTAACGTGATGGGCAAACGTGACGAAAACTTCATCATCTCGCCTTTGCAGTGGCGCTGTTATTATAACATCTTCGTGACATATACCAGTACACAACCACCAAAAAATATTCAGAAAATTGCCATAAAGCTACGGTCCAAAAATAGAAGCAACAGGCGTGGTCAGTTCACTACATCAGGCAACTCTTGGTGCAAACAGATCTTCGCCACACCAATGAATCCTGTTTATGTTTTCCACTCGCTGCGTTGTTTGTCACGTGCAGTGTCACGCAGTGTTGTTATACGGGTGGAGAATGATTAATCATGCCTGCAATAAGGTGCTCGAGAGATTCACGTGAATGCAACAAGTGGCTCGTGCAGTGCCATAAGTGATGTTACGGATGCGACTCTGCTTATTGCGGCGAGATGGTCTATTTAGGTAGCACGGTTTTATTCTAAGACACGTGCCTGCCGGAGCACCGAAAAGAGGATAATGGCCTTCCAAAAGCTGGTCAGTTTTTCTCTGGGGAGACGCTCTATCTGGGACACAGTGAGAACTTAGTTTGGAGGTGAATCGTTGTTTTTCAAAAATAAACTTGCCAAAACAACTTCTAAACACGACTTTAGACATTATGATCGATCGTGCACATTATGTGTGTGGGTGTGTGTGAGAGAGAGTAGTTTACCTAAAACTCATGGTTTAAAACCGTTAACGTCCGTATATGTCCACATTTAATTGGTCTCAGTTAAAATGTTATTCCAGCGTGACAATTATCAAAATAAATACATGTGTCACGATAATATAGGTCAATTTTCTGATATTTCTATGTGTGACAAAGGCAAAACAGTATCCAACTAAGAAAAATGCAGTCCCCTGCACATAGATCCTGGGGCCCTCCTCATCTGAGACATGTTTCCACTTTCTACTTCTGTAATTTACAGTGATGTCCCAGATTTACTGTATCTTTATTCACTCTATAGTCTTTGCTTATATGGAATATAGCAATCAAAATACTTTTCAACAATCAATATAGGCTATACTGATAACTCAAAATACTTGTTTGCATAGAAACACAGAGGAATTTTCTTATGCCAAATATTAAGATAACATGAGACGTTTAAAAAAGTTAGAAATTTTTTGAGTATTTGTCAGAGTATTGACAAATACTCTGACCTATATACTGACCTATTTGTCAGAGTATTATTTTGGGAAACTTTTACTTCACTTCATTCCAAAGCATGTCGTACTTTTTACTCCACTGCATTTCATAGAAAAGACATAGTTCCTCGTTATTTCGAAATGAAGAAATCACCAGCCCCTCTGAGAAACAAGAGCCGAATTCGTGAATGCCTTCTTTCCTGGTTGGTTCACAAATCACACTGAACTATTCATTTGACATGTCTGGATTTGAATGTCTACTAAGTGTTCGTAATATAATAAAAAGTTTGCCTATTTGCAGATCAATACAAATTAAATGTCTGCACTAATATTTCTTATTAGTGTTGTTGACCAGTGCTGGCTAAATAAATTATAAACATGTTAATCGATCAGTACTTTTACTACTTATAAGTAGGCCTACATTAACTACTCTTACTGGAGTAATAATGTATCTGTACTTTTACTGATGTGCATTTCATCCAACACTGATGTTTTGTCATGAATCTTTCCACTATAAAAAACAAAACAAAAAAACACCCTTCCAAGAAGTCTATATCCCTTGAACTGAAAACGTCTCCTCATACAAAAACACTTTCACACGTAAAACGCAAGCATACACAGTAATACAAACAATTCCTCTTGACATCAGGCGATTTCAAACTCTTTAACTTGAGGCAGCACGTGCGTGGGGAGTTTTAAAATTCGTACCGAAATGTGTTCTGGAGAAAGTGTGTCACTGGGCCACGAGGTTTTCGCCGAGGTCACATGGACACATTTCGAGCCTCGTGCAGCGGCGGTGAAGTGGGTGCGCCTGCGCTCGTCTCATCCAAGCATGCTCCTTAACGAGGCAGTCTAAGCAAAACCGGGCAGACTTTACAGAACAGTTCAGAGCGACACAGATTGGGCAAATGACAGGACAGGCGCACCGGCTTATGATACATTTTCATTGAATGATCCACATTTCACTGACGTCTTTGCGCAGCCTTTAACATCTTTTATCAGCATATAGCAGACGCGTAACTATTTTATGCGATTTAAGGAGAGCCATTATTGGCAGTTATGACTTTATCGTAAAGAAGAACTGAGAAGAAAAACAGAAGTGCATCTAAAGAGAGTGCATCTCCACTCCGGGTGTTGCATTGGAGATTGTCAAAAACTTGCATGACTTTACTGGACCTCAACATGACGACAGCAGTAGACACAAACAACACAGGTAAAACTCTCTTGATGCTTTAAGAAATAGTCTTGTTGTTTCAGCTCTCTGCTTAATCATGATCAACTTGCATGTTCATACATTTGTTGCATTACGCACTATTGACTGTTGGGCAAACGGTCCACAAACTAAATGTAGGCTATAATTATTGCTTGGTGCGGTGAAACGTCACAGCTAGGGTATAATATTTCTTTCTGCCGGATTTGACAGTAAATCAACGTATCAGGGCTCGTCGAATTATCTCGTTTTTATGGTTCTGAAACAAATAATCACGAAGATGTTTAATGACATTAAAAAATATTTCGAATGTGTAGATATTTCATTATTCCTTGATAAAAGTGCCTTCATGTGTGAAACGACTGTAAACAGTAGGTAGCCTATGCGTAATTTCTAACGTGAGAAAAGTTCGCGATATAGATAGAATGTAAATGTCAGACGCAGGCAAGAACATCACGGGTTAAGACACAGTGTTCTCGTGAATTTCGGGGAACTAGGTCATAACTGAAAAGTCAGGTGTACGGACATCCCTGTGATGCAGGCGAGCGTCGAATATCCTCACTCGATTCACATGGACCGCCGATCATAGCCATGTGCTTTTTGTTTTCATTCTTCTCTCTCCGCCTACAGCTATTGGTAAGCTTAGACGCTCATTACATAATTCCGCCTTGCGATGCGTGTCTGTCCTCCCAGCGCGAACTCGTGTGTGACGCTGCAGTGTGAGCCATGTGCGCGCTGCGATTGGCCCGAAGAGTGAGACGCGGGGGTGGGCATCACGTTAACAACGTGTTCACTTCAAAACGGACATGAAATTGATCCAGTTTAACGTAACAGTCTTTTCCCATTTCCTCTGACATGAATACGTCACAAAATATCCCCATGTCTGCCATTTTCATCGAATTAACATATTTATTACATTTATCTTTGATTATGAACAGAATAGTATGGCTATAACTTTTGTTTATGATACAACAAAGAGGAAAATTGTTTTATATGTCGCTATGACTCGGATGTTTCGTCTCTAATCCAGATTAACTGAATCCATGATTCGAAAACTGCAATTAAATGCTCGATTGTGATTGTTCAGTCGTTCATTCAGAAGTCAAATATTCATTGATAATGACTGTTGCCCATAGCAACACTGTTTATGCTTATCCTACATCTGTGCTTGCGTTCTTTTTCTCGTATCACTCCCCAGTAAACCAGTAACAATTGTTTATATAGCACCACAAATAGCAACCATTTATAATAATTAATCACTGTGTTGGAAGTGGTAAGTGGGGGAATTTCAGGTTCGAATCGTACACTCACCCTTTACCTGTCGTAAATTCACTGCAACGCCCAGTTTTGACCTTAAGAGACAAATATAATGAACCCAATGTAAACACTGACAGCAGTATTAATGTAGAGCAAAAAAGCTTGCTCATTGCATGTAGGCGTGAATGAATGGTGAAGCGTTTAAAAAAAGCGGCGCGGGTGTGTTTTGAAGGGCGTGCCTAATGCACGGAGTCTCGTTGAAGGGCTGTCCTTGTGTGGCGCACGTGGAGGGGAGGCGTGCTCGCCCAATGATACGCCTGAACAGCTCACACGCGCCCCTGTTGTGCTTACACGAGTATTTCCTTTGACAGAACGTTTAGGAAAGTCTTAAGTGTTTAGATTCAAAAACCATTAGGAGCCAGAGGAAGCACGTTTTTGAACATAAGCAGGGTGAAGATCCAAAACCACTGTTGCCTTGTAACTATAACAGAAACATCCACAACGAACTCACTAAATTAAAGTCTAAACCAGTCTAGTGGATCTAATCTAATTTCATTTGTGACAGGAGTGTTTCCATGTTGTTGCTCCACCTGACACAGTGACTTGTTGACCTTTTGTGCTAGTGCACACTAGTTATGTAACTTCTAATTGGTTTGCCTTTGACATTTAAAATGCTGTAAAGATTAAACTAGCAAAACACTTTGATATCCACAACTTGTCAATACAAGATCTTGACCAAAAATTGTTGCACCTCTTTCTGGAAATAAATGTTGATCTAGCATTGACAATGCAAGAGTCCAGCACTCTGTAAAGTCTCCTCCAGCACATCTCAAAGACTTTCACTGAAATAAAGGTCTGGACTCAGAGGTGACAATTCATGTGTGAAAATGATTCTTCATGCTCCCTGCCAACCATTCTTTAACAGTTTGAGCCTGATGAATCTTGACATTAGCATCATGGAATATGACCATGATGTGTCTTTCTACATGTAGTTCCTAAAATGTAGTTTCCATCAAGTGCAGTGATTTGGTGTGCAGGAGGAAACAGTAAAACATGAGCGATGGATACTGAGTTTAACTTCAGGGGACCAAAGGTTAGGAAAGGCAGCAGGAAAGTATTGGACTCTAGGCAATAGTATACATGCTAGAGTCAATGCCAAGGTGTAAACTCTAACACACTGCACAGTTCCTCAAGAGCAAAGTTGACTAATCTTATCTGATTTGAGCTGATGATGTAAACTAATGAGCAGGATATAAGTCGAACAAAAACAGAGTTGTAAATGTTATTTATAACTGCACATGTCTGGGCATGTGCTACCAACACATCATGCAGAGTTGTGCATTTGATACACAGAAATGTCATGAGTCAAATGTGGCTGGCTCACATGGTTTACCGCTGCCAATGAAACTAGGCCTATAAACCACAAAAAAAGGCCTTCTGAGACAAGCTCAGGAAAAAAGGGAGTGGTCGCTGGAATTTTTTAATGTCCCCATCCAGTTTACAATAACAATTCCTAGAAAGTGTCCCTATTTTCCACCAGGACAGATTATCTCAGTTTCCTCATCACCATCTGTTTCAGTGAAACTCCATGTAATCCATGAGAGAGGTATTTATGGGAACATTTTTATGAGGATGTACCCACAAGTTTTAGGGAGGAGGAAAAAAATACCTGAGAACATTTTCAACTCCCTCTTGGTGGGCTTCTCTCACTTTTTGTTTGGGAGCAATCTAGTAAGTGTGCTTTTCTTTTTCATGGCTAGGTGGGGTGATATCATACATCGGATCGTGTGGAGGCTCTCCCAACCGCACCAGCCCCGTGTCCATGTACAGTGAGAATTCCAACAGCAGCCTGCAGTCCTTTACGCAACCCTGCTTTGGCTCTTCATTCCCACCCTCCCCCAATGGATCCCATGATTCCTCACGGATGTACACCAGCAGCAGCAGCTCGAGTTCTGGATCAGGAGAGGAGGGAAGCTCATCATGCTCTGGTGGATCCCCAAGAGGCCGTGATGATGTTGGAATTGCACGCAATTCACCCAACAAATCAGTTGCCACCCTTACTAGTAAGTGATAAGAACTATGCTTTACCTGATCAATGGACAGTATGGTATCCAGGAGAACGACTATAACATCGGACTTCCCTTCCAGAGCTGAATGGAATGGTGTTGCTGTGCAAAGTGTGTGGCGATGTGGCTTCTGGTTTTCACTATGGGGTCCATGCCTGTGAGGGCTGCAAGGTAAGAAAATAGCATCTGTTTACATTAAAAAAAGTTGAATAAACATTGCATTTTTACTTAGAGCTTTTGTTTAAACAAAAAACTAACATTATCTGCATGGTGCACAGGGATTCTTTCGACGCAGCATCCAGCAGAACATCCAGTACAAAAAGTGCCTGAAGAATGAAACTTGTACCATTATGAGGATCAACCGGAACCGGTGCCAGCAGTGCCGTTTCAAAAAGTGTCTGTCCGTGGGAATGTCCCGAGACGGTGAGTATCTAGACAACCAAGCTTGGAGAAATACTGAGAAACAATAACATAAAAGTTTAGGGATGCACTGATATTAATTCTGACTGTTATTCCATTTTTAAATGAGTGGAAATGAGCATATCCAATTTCAGCAGATATGGATAAATCAATACAATCTAAAATATCACCCAATGTCAGATATAGTACCAATACTTCCTACATCCATCGAAAGGTTTCTAAGTAGAACATTGGCATACATACATCAATATGACATTTTCTGTACTTTTTTTAACCCCCAGCTGTTCGTTTTGGTCGTATCCCAAAACGCGAGAAGCAGCGTATGCTAGCCGAGATGCAGAACGCCATGAACAACATGGTGAACAACCAGCTTCAGAATGAATTCCAGCTGGCGAGCATCACATCAAACACCCCCTGCTCTTCTTCGTCCCCATCCACCACTTCCTCATCTCCTTGCCCAGGCCTTACAGTGGGGCCGCAACCCCAGCCCCCCGCAGTGGCCGTAGAACCAACCTCATCGCCCCCGGCCCCAACATCCCCATCGGTGCAACCGGCTCAGAGCTCCCCACCTCTTACCTCTTCTCCACCACTGTGCTCCAGCCCAGGTGTAGACAAAACCATTGCCGCCATTACCCGGGCACACCGCGAGACCTTCGTCTACGCTCATGATAAGTTAGGTTCAGCGCTGCTGCCTCACAACGGCGAGCTGGACAACCGAAGCAGCAACCGCTGCATGGCTGGATACCACCTCAATGGCCACAACACCATCTACCACCACGATAATAATGTTGCTCATCATTGCAACAACTTCGAGGTGCCACCAGAAAACAGCCTCCATTTTCAAGCCTCCCAAGCACCTGGACAACATCAGCAGCACAATAACAACGGCCAGCAATCTCCAAACAGTAACCTCTACGGCGTAAGCCACAGTCAGGAGTTAAACAGCAGCTCACAGGGTCAGAACTGTCCGTGGAAAAAACGCAAGGAGATTCTGCTGGTAAGACCTTTGGTATTCTAACGATATGTTCTTCTTAGTACCAAGCAAAGAAGTCTTGGACTTTTGACTTTGAACGGATCTCTTTTATCCAGGCTTGTCCAATGAACATGCATCCTTACTCGGACCCTAACAAAACACCCCAGGAAATTTGGGAAGACTTCTCTCTTAGCTTCACCCCAGCGGTGCGAGAGGTGGTGGAGTTCGCCAAACACATACCAGGGTTTAGCACTCTATCCCAAAACGACCAGGTCACTTTGTTGAAGGCCGGAACATTTGAGGTAAGTCATTGGTTTTTAAAACATCAGACTTTTGTCAAATACAAAAAAGGCCACAATGCCAAATTGGGTTTTACTAAGTATGTTTTATTTTTGAATCTCTCCTGCAGGTCCTCATGGTACGCTTCTCCTCGCTGTTTAACGTAAAAGAGAAGACTGTTACGTTCATCTCAGGCGCCACCTACAGATTGGAGGCTCTGAAAAGCATGGGCATGGGTGATTTGCTGGGAACCATGTTTGACTTCAGTGAGAAACTCAACTCATTAGAGCTCTCAGCAGAAGAACTGGGACTCTTCACTGCAGTGGTGCTGGTTTCTGCAGGTAGGTTGCATATTAGTGTTAAAGGGATAATTCACTCAAATGAAAATTCTGTCATCATTTACCCAACCTTACGTTGTTTCAAACAAATTAGACTTCACTTAATCTTATAATGAAAAATGAAGATATTTTTAATGAAACCTGAGAGGTTTCTGTGTCTCTACTGGTTGTCCAGGTAGAAGATCCAAAAAGGTCATGAAGGTGTTATAAAACTAATCCATAGGATTCAAGCTGTGAAGAGATATGATCACTTCATATGATGATTTATCTTTATTAAGTTTTGGTTAAACTTGCACTCCATGACTTCCTTTCTTCTGTGTAAAAAAAAAAAAAAAAAAATTTTGAAATATTGTTTATACAATTAAAGTCAATGGTGCCCAAAGCAACATCGGACCCCATTGTCTTTCACTGTATGAACAAACACTGAGGCGTTTTAAAAAAATATCTTCCACAGAAGAAAGAAATGCATAAACGATGACAGAATTTTCATTTTTGGGTCAACCATCCCTTTAATGGCTTGACACTACATATATATCATATAGTAAGTACATTAGTTTGATCCACTAATTAATTTGGTCTCTCATTGTTTGTTTCTGTTGAACAGACCGTTCTGGGACTGAAAATGTGAATTCAGTGGAGATGCTTCAGGAAAGTCTAATTCGGGCTCTCCGGACCCTCGTCAGCAAGAGCACCCCTTGCGACTCCTCCCGATTCACTAAGCTGCTGCTCAAACTTCCTGACCTGCGCACGCTGAATAACATGCACTCGGAGAAACTGCTCTCTTTCCGCATTGACGTCTGAGGTTGCAAACCACTGCCATGAGTAAAAGTGGGTCGCCGCTGGTTGACTGCAAGACAAAAAAGGGTACAAACATTAGAACCCGTTCCAAGAGAACAAAACAGAAAACAAACCAATGCATTTGGTACTTAAAAGCACTTGATGACACATTTGAAGGGATGCTTTGGTGTCTAATGGTCGGCCAGTTGCCTTTATGGCTAGCTAACCATATTTAGGGCAGTTAAAAGGGTCTTTGAGCCACATGTCATTGCTTACTTGAAATGGGTGGTAATAATGAAGCAGACAAAAACACTCAGACTGCATCTGCATAGGGAACAAGTGCAAAATGTCTCTTGCAAGGCTTCACAGCCAGGCCAGAAGGATCTCCAGGCCACTTCCAGAGAGGAGACAACAGCGGCAGCAGATCAGAGCGTCTCCTCATATCCAGGCCTGGGTTCCCGCTACACCCACACTCAGAGATTAAATCATTTTAGCAATGATGCAAATGACAAGCTATACGTGGTATGAACCTTCATGTATATTCACATCCCTGTGTGACACTAAAATATTTGTAAATATGATATACATACTTTAAATGTTTTCAAATGTATAATATATATATTTTTTGTAAAGTTCACATGCTCAACGCAGATGATATATAAATATGAGCACAGACATATAAGTAGAGTATATCCTCCTGGGACCCAAGAATAGACTTTTGTCCACTGTAGTGGACATTATATTTTAGTGAATTTCTCTGACATCATACATGTCACATGACACAACCTGGGTGTCCTGTAAAGAGCACATTCAGGACTTTTCAGAGATACCAAATGTTTGGAGGTTTCACCATGAAAACAACTTCTCCTTGGTCTTTAAAAATGTCTGACATTAATTTAGTGATCAAATGTAGCATTCTTATGGAAATATGATAATATAGTGTAATTATAATATAAATTGGACTACTTTTCAAATTGTATTTCATAAAACAACATCTCAGGAAAATGTTAAGGGGTAAAAAAAAAAAAAAATTCTGTTACAGAACAGGGCATTGATTTCAAACGTGTCCACTGTAGAGGACATCAGGACTAAAATCATGTTTATCAGGCATTCTGGGAGACACAACAAGTGAATATGGAAATAAATTATACATCAATATTCCTATGAAATGTTAGATATTATTATTAAAATGTTGCCAATTATTACTCCAATTATTACCCTTTATTCTTTCATTAAATGTTGCTCCCAGAACACATTAATGTGCAAATTAGATACAGTGTATAGATACATTGCATTGAATGGGAATATTAACTTATGGCCATTTTACCCACATATTGCAAAAAGTAAAATGGTGTATCAATTCATTCCATTATTTCTTTCATAACATAGTTGAGAATAATCTTTATACAAATTTTGGTTGAAAAAATCCTGAAACCCCAAAATGTATTGGTGATTGAAAAAAAAAATCCCATTGTTTTTGCCTATACATATAATTTCATGTCATTTTATTTTTTAAACAACTTAGTCCTGGCGTCCACTACAGAGGACATAGCATAACGTATGAATAAAATATTATTTTATATATATGTTTTTTTACCATTTGTTTATTGTGCTCTAAACAGTGTGATGACATGGAAAAAAACTAAATTCAAAAAACTTTTTTTTTCTGGGTCTCAGGAGGATATGCATATTATAGAACTTCCGACATGTATTTCAGTTGTCTTTTACTTCATAAAGCCATTTTATGAAACAAGAGTGCTGCGTGTTGTCTTTTTTCCAAGAAGAAAAATCTAATGTGTCGAATAGATCTTGGTTTACCTGTGTACTGAACACGTTTATTGTAAAAGAATAAAAATGTATAAAAACAAATGGAATTATATAATATATAAATTATATATACAGAATGTATAGAATAATATAAAGTATTATATATAGTATACTACTATACAAACTTTACGACAGTGTCCTCTAGTGGGAGCTGATGTGTGAACAAATATAGAAGACAGGAAATTATGCCAATTCTTTTCCATAAGTGCTGCAATTAAATAGGACAGTAGAGTTATCTGACAATAGGTAATTAAATTAGTGCAATATGCTGTTCAAAAGTTTGGGGTTAGTAGGGCTTTTTAAAATAAATTAATACATTTATTCAGCAAAGATGCATTCAATTAATCAAAAGGGGCAGTAAAGACATTTATGTTACAAAAGATATCAATTTCACATAAATGCTGTTCTTTCGAACTTCCCATTCAAAGAATCCTGGTTTCAACAAAAATATTAAACAGCACAACTGTTAATGTTTTCAACATTAATTATAATAATATTTGTTTGAACACCAAATTATTTCTGAAGGATCATATGAGACTGAAGACTGGAGTAATCATGCTCAAAATTCAGATTTGACATCACAGGAATAAATTAAATTTAAAGAAATTATTTTAAAATGTTAAAATATTTCACAATATTAGTCTTTCTTTACTGTATTTTTTGATTAAATTGATTCCTCCTTGGTGAGCATATGAGACTTGCGTTCAAACAGCGATTAAATAATGGAATAACATTGGAAATTTGCAAGAATGAATAGGACATCAATACTGCAACCCTAACAGACAATGGAATCAAAATAGCTAAAGCATCTAAAAGTTCTTGCAAATGGTTATTATATTATTAAAATATTTAATTATAGTAAATCAACACAAGTAGAAAATGATAAGCAAGTGGGAAAAAAATACAATACCTACCTCATTCATAGTAAATATAAATCAACATAGTACATGTGAATTAAGTTTAACAGTATATAATATTTTTTTTAACATATGAAAGAATATGGAAATAATGAGGGGAAAATATGGTTCACCTATATAGGCAAGCAAATACCACTGACAAGATCTTTGTCATTATTTGCCAAGACCACTTAAGTGGTACACTTAAGACAGTAAAAAGTATAGGAAGTTTTAAACAGGGTTTGAAAGCATGGTTTAGGTGCCAATTGTAGTTATTATAATACTATAGTCTATTTTTATTATTATTTTTTCAGTATAATATGTATGAATTTGTTTAATGTATGATGAATGATTGATGTGTGATTTGCTGCCACTTGTACTTTTCCGCTGCCTTTATAAGGGACCACAATGGAAATAAGTCTTCGGGCTTTATTGTGTTATCCCTGACTACTTACGTATTTTATTTTAATGTATGACTCAGTTTCATACTGTTTTCATATTTTTATATTTAAGTGGTCAAATAAAATCAATCAATCAATCAAACCCATCTTAGTTTCCCCTGTTAGACATGGAGTCTGATCCACAAAGACAATAGTCAAAGCATAGCACAGAGTCCAGGCCTCATCTCATTACAGACAGCAGAATGAGCAGAGAATATGTGGAGTGCTCTCCACACACATGGACCCAGAACTGGGTCATTGTGCCCTCATAATCAGTTTCACAGCTCCCTATTGGCCAAATCCAGAACAAACCTCACATCTTATTTGGCCAATAAGAGCAGCTCCTGTTGTGTATCGCCAGAGGGCGGATAACTGGAACAGAGAGTGGAGTCATGCTCTAAGTGCCAAGTAGAGTATATCAGAATAACCACGTGAAGAAAAAAAATGACTGAATTTGATCTAGTTTCATAACAAGCTCGGGGGTGGCCAGAGGCCAACGTGATAGGAGCTTTACATGTATGAGGTGGAATGTACTTTAAAAGTGAAAAATGATTCATACAACTGTGTAGTAAAAAAGGGAGGATTAAATGTCCAGGCAGCAGAAGACCAAGCTTTAAGTTGTCTAACTTGTTACCTAACCTGTTATGTCAGACAACAGCATATGGAATGTGCATGTGGTGCTTACATAAAGTGCTGCCCTCTAGTGTTAAAAACAAGAGTAGACGTGCAAAAGTCAAACTAGATGCCATTTAATACATTTTAGATTAATTTTATTTACACAAACATGTGACCTCCTGTAATTACTGACAGAATAATGCAGAGCTCATTTCTACATGAAAACATGTAATGAGCCTCAAATTTGAATGCTCAATCCTTTTATACGGGTGAAGAGTAATTTTATGCAAAATATTTATAAAGTAAAGACAGTCTGGGTTTGTTAGGTAAAGACTGAAAGCACTTTATAACTCACAATACGTACACAGACACAATACAAATATTCATTTATATATCAACAATGCAACTAGAACTGTACAATGCAGAGTGTACGTGTTATGTAATAGACTCTGACTCAGGACATGACATACGTGATGGAGATCTTCCTTTCTGAGTCAGGGCAGGAGTACATTTTGACGTTCACATCAGATGTTCGGATTGGAGGAGAGAAACTCAAGCCACTCTGTCAGGACAGGATGTTGCTCTGAGGGCTGAAAAGAGTCATTTATGAATGAATAAACTGAACTGAAGCTGGAAACATCTTGACCTCTTATAATAGTGGATTTACCAGTTACTTGCTTCGGGGACACATTTAGAAAATGCAATTCATACATACAATGACTTCAATGCATCTCTTCTATGATGAGCAAATTATATATTAAAGTCTATTTTGATATTGTTTGGGGGAGCATAAAGTAAAAAATGTCAGGATGATACAATTGTTCACAATAAAACTATAATAAAATAATACTTTCAAAAGAATTCTACAACACGGTTAAATTAAGGAAATTAAAATAAACAACATTAAGTTGATTGGTGTAATTTTACACTTATTTATTTGGGAAATAATATTTTTTTTATGGTTTTACATAGCATGGCTAGTTCAGGTTGTAAAATGTCATGTGGTGCGACTCCCCAAAAGTGTAATGATATCTATGAATTAAAAATTCATGATATGTAATATATATATTCACTTGAAACCCTTTAAAAAAAGATTAAGAAGTGTACAATCAAATGCTTTCAAAGTGTAAGGAAAATGTTATGCTAGACGGTTGTCATTAAATTAAAGCTCCAGTCCGTAACTTTTTTAAGTTAAAAATAATCCAAAATAATTATATAAAAAAAAAAACGTATTCTGCCAGTGGTCAAAACTATCTGCTTGCCATAGCTAGATTCAAAACGGTTAGCTTGTAATAATGATTTTAATTCCAGTGGAACTGGTGGGTTTCCGCGGGAAATTCGAGCATGTCTTTGCGTCATTACGTCACACCCGTACACATAAAGAAGGAGTTTCGGCTAGCCGGCTATACTGCGCGTGACGAGATGTTTAGATGTATAGGCTTTTCTCGCAGCACTTTACATAATTAAACTTATGGCATCCAGAAAGATCCAAACAACAATCAACAGTGTCAACTGGAGATTCAGCAGTTATAAAACCCAAAAGACTTCGTACTTCGGATTTAAAGTGGCTAGAGAAAGAGAAAGAAACCGTCTCATGCGAACACAAGGATTTAAACATCGGCGGGGCTTTTGAAAAGTGCGTGAACTCCGTGTTTTGAAGGGGTTCAAAACGGAAGAAGAGACAGCTTTTTTCTGCTGAACAAGTAAGTTAAGACATTTCAATAGTTCAATCGTGTAACAGTACGTTTTCTTAATTCACACAGTTATGGAGTTTCCTTTGTTGTGCCTTTCTCGTTTTGCTATTATGGAGAATATGAATTCTGAACTACGCTGCTAACCATAAAACACATTAAATTTAACATTAGTCACGCAATGCTGATGTTGTTAACATGAACAATTTGAGAACAAAGTAGGCTATAATTTGCACGGTTGCTGTAAATCGCGTTGATTAAATCTAACGAAGCTTATCATGTCGAATGCTTTTTCCCCCTTAGTTGGTCAGAACAAAAATGGATTTTACTTGCTTGTTCAGAAGACATTTTCTTATGAAAATTCTTATGTTGGTCAAACTTTCAAAAAGTGAATCTGTGATTCTGTATGACAGTATCCACAGAGCGCGGTGACTGACAGCAGCACTCGCCTCAAAGCACTGTGTTCATCCGCGCTGTTTCATGCCGATTTACAACCCACGTAAAGATGATAAATCCGCGAATCACTGCAGTTACAGATTTCGAACAGAGAGATGGCGAAAAAGAGGAAAAGATACGGACTGCAGCTTTAAATGAAAAAAATAAAATAAAAAATAAAATTCAAACATGGCACAATATTTATAAAGTGGACATACAACATGGATCAGCAAACTGAAACCAAACCTTTTCACTCTTCCTTACCTGTAGATTGGTGATATCAAACAGATTGCCGTCTTTTCTCACAGACAGGAGAGTAGCTCGACCGTGTGATGGGTAACCCTCCTCAACCCTCAGGTGACATACGGTGGTCGCAGTCTTGAGAAAGATCAGAAGCTTTTCAGCAGGACACCAATCAATCGCAAACCTGATGAAGCAAACAAAAATGATTCATCATGCAATACGAGTTTCCCCTTTTATTGCTGTAAAGTAGTAATGCTGAGTTCCGGTGTTGTGTAAGGGTGGTTTCACTACAGGGGTTCAGGCTGCAGGATTGCCGAACGACTAAAGAAACGTTATCAGAAAAATGGTAGAAAAATGAACATTTCTTGTCCATTACCACTGCTACTTATACCAACGATGGAAATAAGTGCAGTTATAATAGCAAAATATGTGGTAGAGCATTGCTATAGTTTGACGATTTTGTATTGCAATAGATAGCACATTAATGTTAATACCAAATCAAAGCTATTTAAAACATTTGTAAGTGAAAGGCTTTAACGACAATATCTGGTTATGGTTACACTTAAAATAGATGTATGAGATGATAAAATCTTATGCCATTAATCATACCCAGCATATTATGCAGAATGTTTGTTAGAGAGAGAGAGAGAGAGAGAGAGAGAGAGAGAGAGAGAGAGAGAGAGAGAGAGAGAGAGAGAGAGAGAGAGAGAGAGAGAGAGAGAGAGAGAGAGAGAGAGAGAGAGAGAGAGAGAGAGAGAGAGAGAGAGAGAGAGAGAGAGAGAGAGAGAGAGAGAGAGAGAGAGAGAGGGGTATTCATCTGGCAGCGCAGTGTGTCTCTTCATGTCATCATATGAGGGACAAGGGCTGAACCCTCTTATCCCTTTAAACTACTCTGTACTTTTTTTTTATTGCGATATATTTATGTATAATATGGAAATGTTTTTTTTATTTATCTATATGTTTGTATATGTCTATTGCTTTGGCAATATTGTGGTATTTTACACAGTCATGTGTAGGATTACAAATTTAAGAATCTGTTTAAGATCTGCTGATCTTATGTCCTTAAAATATCATAACATGAAAAACTAAGGTAGAGTAAATTGAATTTAGCATTTAAGGTAATGATGATGATATCAGCTGTTAAGCATGAGATTCCTGCCAGTCCTGTTCTCTCTATTGTAAGTTAAATGAATCAGATTACTGAGACTCAGTCTTTAATGGCTCAGGGAGCCCCTGGCTCAGTTGTTGAATAGTTAGGCTGATTATCATCAATGTATTTGAATGAGACTGTTAGGCTGATGAGATCAGGACTGGGGAAATGGGCTGACTCCTGTACTTCATTTACATGCCACCACTATGTAATCCCACCCCCCTTGAAATGTATATAAACTACAATGTATACTGCTTTAGTTAGACTTGATGACTGCAGCTACCGACAGCTCGTGTTCTCAATAAAGATACAACCAAGTCTACTGGTCTTCACTTCTGAGTTTCCAACATGCCAATAAAGCTCATTTGATTTGATTTTCATCCTTACAGTTGTTAACTTAAATTAGAACATTCTGCAGCAGCTGAGATTCAATAAATCCAAAACATAATCATAAATCTGAGCAAAGGTCGCGCTAACCGAATATTTTCCATCATTGACTGAATGTTTTTTGCAGTGACAAAAAAATCTGAAGGCTGTCCATCATTTTTCCAGATTACACTGAGGGTGATCTATTGTAACATGTAACTGTAATTCATATTTTAATCGTAATTGTATTTTGTAATATTGCAGAGTTTATATCAGCCAGTTCAGGCACAAAAGCTTGTGTTTTAAAGGTCCCCTGACAAGGGGTTATTTTATTATTTTATAATGTTTCCTGGGTTGCCCTTATAATGTTAGTATGTTTTTTAGATAAAAAAGTCATAATTTAGAAATAAAAGGCATTTTTCCTAGCCTGATTTTAGCCTCTGATTTGAACGCTCTGTTTGAAGGGGCGTGTCTGCTGTGGGATTCAGTGTAACCGCCCACTGCTGTGATTGGCTGACATGCTTGCATATGAAATAGCTATGTATTACATGCGAAACTTTCTCGAATACTTTTACTACTGCTATTATACGTTTTTACTATTACAGCTATCGAGATTAACAAATCGTGAGAAGTTTTTAAAGTATTTAGATCTATTCCTATCACATAAAATGTTGCCGTGATGAGCATTGAGCAAGCAGATGACAGTGTGTTGATCGCGAGAATGAAGATCTTATCATTGAAACGCAGTTTCTGCTCTCTCTAATGCTTTCACCAATGCAAACACGATGATGTACATACAGTAAGAGCTTCGTTGTGCAGTGTAACGTGCGTCATTGATTTCATAATGAGTTGGCCAGAAAAACTTGCGGTGTGGAAAGATTGTTCTTTGATCGCTTTCTGTATAATTTGTTCACCATTTAAATAAGATTATTTTCATCCTAGTCAAGTCAAGTCAAATATATTTATATTGCGCTTTTCACAATACAGTTTGTATCAAAGCTGCTTCACAGTATCAATCAAAACAAATTAACAGTGTTTGTTTATTACTGGAAAAGACATCCAAGTTTGGTAGAGATGATCAGTGGCATGATGGGTCATTTAATTTGAATATCCCCAACTGAGCAAGCCAAAGGCAACAGTGGCAAGGAACCGAAAAACTCCATCAAGTGACCCGATGGTGTCCTAAAACTCCATCAGATGACCCAATGAAAAAAAAAAAAAAAAAAAACTTTGGAGAACCCAGGCTCATTCGGGGCCAGTTCTCCTCTGGCGTTTATGAAGTAGAGGCCGAATTTACAGTAACCGTAAGATTAAAAAATTTATATGAATGCCTGGCTAAATAGATGCGTCTTTAGTCTAGTTTTAAACAGTGAGAACGAGTCTGAGCAACAAACAATATCAGGAAGGCTATTCCAGAGCTTCGGAGCTAAATGTGAAAATGCTCTCCCTCCTTTGGTGGATCTGGATATCCTAGGAATGACCAGAAGCCTCGAATTTAGTGATCTTAATGAGCGCGATGGATTATAGGGCGATAGAAGATCCGTTAAATAGACTGGAGCTAAACCATTTAGAGCTTTATAAGTCAAAAGCAAGACCTTGTAATTAATACGGAACCAATGGTAACCAATGGTAAACTATGACGTCATAAGGAGGAGATTCAAGATCAGCCAATGGAGAGAAAGCTCTGAGCTGCAGAGAAGAGAAAAATAGCCAAAGCTCGGTTTACACCGATTGAAAATTCTAGACACGAGGGGACCAAATACAGGCTAGGGGAACTAATATTAATGTTAGAAAACCTCAGAAAGTGAAAATTTCATGTCAGGGGACCTTTAAGGCCCGTTCACACCAAGAACGATAACCATAAAGACAACTATATTAACGTCCACACCAACGGACGGCATCGTTCTGTTTATTATAAGCGCGTGCTTGTCTGTCACTTTAAATGCACAAGCTCTTTACAGCAGGATGTATTCTGATTGGCTGTCAATGTTTTTATCATTCATCAGCTGGATAAAATCATTCTGAAAGCGATTCCAATAGGGCTGGGCGATATGGCCAAAAAAATTTATCACGATATTTTTTTATATATCAGTCGATATCGATAATTATCACGATAAATGTCAAATCTTTATTTCTTTCAAGTTTAAAGGCAGATTTTTGCTCCTAAGTGAAAGTTGTATAAACCAGAGCGTTGTGGTTTTAAAAATCTGAGGTAGAACATTCAAACATTTGTCATTTTTCCTTAACAAAATAAATATCTGAAAAGAAAAATATTTCTTCAGCACAGTTTGCAGTGCAGGCTGCAATATTCAAATTACATGTTTTGCCTCGAAATGCATATTTGACAGTGAGTTGACAGTAAATCTGCATCCTAACTCAAGCTAATACTACTATGTTAAATTTATGTTCATTAACAAAAACAGTAACATCTGTTTGTTTGTTTGTTTTTATTTAAGGACCACATTTTTATTTGGTAAAATGTAATATTCTGACTGTTTGAGTTTTATTAAAATTAACCATTGGTCATCCAGTATTATGCATTTAGATCATGATAACCACAGATAAAGCCAGGTACAGCCTATAGCACCTCACTATCATGGCAAAATGTAACTTTATGGTTTCTATGGTATTTGTATGAAAAACAGTAGCCTAACAGTTAAATACATTATTAAATACTGTAATTATATTCCATTAGTCATTTAATACATTGTCTACATTAATAATATTATACAATTCAATATGTATTTCCCACATTTCATGGTGCAGTTAATATTACTAGGCTAACGTTACAGTAAATCCATGGTAGGCTAAATGGATTCAGTATCAATTCAGATTCTGCGCGCAGTGTTTCTCCTGTTTGTCAGCGGTGTTTCATCTGCCTTTGAACTGATTTAAACTGGACATTTGTGTTCTTCGCTGAACTTAAGCGCTTCTCACTGGATCTCGTGAGCGAGACGGTCAGAGTAAACGCGTCTGCTCTAGTGAGCTCGCGCTGCCGTTTGGACTTTGAGCCGAGCGGATAAACAGTCCGTGAGGCGCGCGCGGTTCAAATGAGTTTCGTTCCGCTTTTGGCGCATACACATTATCGAACATTTATCGACCTCTTGATATCGTTTTATCGAGAAAAAATATATCGCGATAATTATCGTTATCGTTTTATCGCCCAGCCCTAGATTCCAATGATATCTTCCTGTGGTGTTGAGCATGAAAAGTGACTCACAGTCTCTGCTCTCTTTAGAAGTAACTAAATGTATAATCTAGCCTATATGCTTGTCCTTTCAGGTCATGATTAAAAATGAATATGTGAACAAAAACAAAAGCTATTAAACATCTTATCATTAAAATATGAAAATTAAAATGACGGATAATAATAGATGACAGAATTTTTACGACCCTGTCCGTCAAATAGTGTCTGTTTATCAGTATTAGGACACTTGTATTTTGAGCGAAATTTTTCAAAAACATGTTGAAAGAAGACAAAACTATGCAGCCGTCACACATTTCACAGGTTACAGTAAGATTTTCATTTTGAGGATGAGTTGTATGATGTCTTTGGGTTTTTATGAACCACCTTCTTCTTTATCAGCGTTTGATATGATTGATTATACTTTAAGAAAATGTACCTGGAGTGAAGAGCCTGAATCTCAGATAGCATCTCTCCTTGACTTATGTACCGCTCCATCACCTCCACAAGGGCGGCGCTCACTTGCCTAAGCGGGCCGTTCACCGCCTCCTCTACCAGGCCAGCCGTTCCCTGAAACACCTGCAGACAGGAAAGAGGTACATTCAAAATAATGTAATGAAGCAAAATGAAAACCAGGTAAAACTTAAAAGAAATGTAGTTCTAGAGGAATATTAGCTCTAAGCACTGACAAAAACAAAGATTTAGTCATATAATTTTATTACCACCATATGATCACTACCATTCAAAAGTTTTTCATTAGTTATTTCAAACAGTAACAATATGTTAACATCTTTCTTGATTATTCTTCAAAAATTTTTTTTTTATAATTACGTAAATACAATCTTAGAAAATAAAAGCCTTAAATTGCCTTAGCGTTTCAACACTTAAAAAAAAAAACTTTAATATTGTACTGTACATAGGACAAGAATGCAATTTTTTTTTTTACAGCAGTACAAATTATAGTATATTCATAACAATGTGAGTGAAAAGTTTGAGTTGAATCTCAATTTTTATTAATATATATATACACACACCTTTACACATCTATAATGCTATATTAACTAGAACAAAAATACAACAAAAAAAGTATCTACTGCACTACATATGAGTACATGAACAAAGTATGTTTTATGATAAGCATGATCCTCTTTTGAAATCAGGCAGCTCATCCCTTACTTCACATTTCACCACTCTCAGCAGAAATATATGCTGTGAGACACAGTACCTGAAGATGGAACTCGTCACTGGCTGTCATGGTGACGGAGACACGCAGCGGTTCAAGTGATTTTTCGGCAGCACGAGGCAAAAGCTCAAGGCACAGCTCAGAGGGACTGACTGAGAGCAGCCTATACTGCATATTTCTGTGAGTCACTGTGACCAAGGTTTGCAGCCTGAGAGACAAAGAAAATAAAACAAAGAAAAAGGGGAGTTTATTAGTGTGACAGTGTAATCAGTCACAACAATCGAAATAGACATATTTTGTAACATTATAAATGTTTTTGTCCTTTTTGATCAATTTGATGCATCCTTGCTGAATAATAGTTTTATTAATAATTAATTTCTGAAATAAAAAAAACTGACCCCAACCTTTTCAACAGTAGTGTATACAAACTCACCTGTCCCTTAATAGAGTCCAGTCACTAATTCGAGCCTGCTGTCTTTCAAACTCATCCTTGAGCTTAGACAGATGAACATCACACACATTCAAGGCGTTCTGGGCTGCCTGGAAGGAATCTTCCAACTGAAAGCTGATTTGTTTCTGTGCGTGAGAGAAAGGAATGAGAATTTAAACAATTTGATTCAACCAGTTTGTCCCACAGCTTCATTTTGGTGAAGAAAAGTTGAAATTATTGGAGCTAACTAGCCAAATCAAGAAGTATAAAATAAATGGATGCTGTTGTGGAAATTTTAATAGTCATTGATCCCTAACAGATATCATAAGAGAGAGAACCTATTCAATGTGTAAAATATAGATGATTCAAAGAATGTCACATGTGTGTCTCTCACTTGTAGTGAGAGAAGATTCTGTTTATGTACCTGGGGAGGCAGAAGAGGGAGACACTCCAGAGAACAGACGAACAAGGACCTCTGACCTAGATGTCAGAAGGCCATTTTGGTGCAGGGGGGCTTATGGGCCAACTAGTGACGTCTATGGAAAACTACTGGGAGGAAGGCTCTGGGGGGAAGAAGGCCTTGAAACTAAGATAAAAGCTAGTTCAGTCTGTCTGGGGGTGGGTCACTCTTCTGCACAGGGTAACAACTGTGTATTAGACTGCTCCTATTCTTGCAAGAATAAATACTTCTATTTTATATAATTTGACTCTGACTGTCTCTTACGCAGTGATGTTTGCTTGAGATGAATTTTTGCCACAACAGTTTTGGTGTCAGAAGTGACATTCCTTGGACGTGCCTCCTGGACCTGAGATCGGACGGTGTTTGGCCACCTGGACTAAGTAAGTTCCAGCTCTACCTCGTAAACTTGAGAGAGAGGGGCCGACCGATATCAGGGCCGGGAGAATCGACCACTGGAATCTAAAGAACCCGCAGGTGGCAACAGAAGCATCTCTGGTAAGAGACAGTTCAATTTATTTTCTTTTGGGTAAGTTAATTAAATTCAGTTTAATTGGGGAGAAGAGTGAAATTGAACCATATTGGCTGAAGGCTGTTTCTGTGGTACGTAATCTGAGATTAATTGAGATCTATATAGATCAAGAAATTTCAAACAGATACGAGGGAAAAATCTGAGATTAATTGAGGTCTGTAACAGAACAAGAAATTTCAAGCAGATAAATAATCTGGGATTAAGTGAGAACTGTAACAGATCAAGAGATTTCAAACAGATAGGTACCCTGAAAATTAGTTGTTCCACGACGGAGCAAATTGTTTTTAGGTACTGAGGCTAATTAGGGGGAACCAGAATTTTTTGGTAAACCATAATTAGGAGGGCACTAATAGTGCAACCCGACCGATTTGGGTTAAAAGAAAAGAATCGGATTTGTTAGGGACGCCTAAACAGATTAAAGAAAACGCGCGTTGAAGAGAAATCCACAGAGAACAGAAAGCAGCCAGTATGGGGATGTCTCAAAAGCAAGCTTGCGAAATTTGATACACCGGTTTTCTGTAGAACTAGGAAAGTATGGGGGGAAATGTATGTTTTAGATATTGGGAAAAAACTGAGAAAATACCATGATCATGAGCTACCATGAGCACAAATAGACTAAGAGTGTGCGAGAATCAGTGGAACAGGGCAGCGGGACAAAAGGTTGTTGTGGCTGCGTTCAACATGTGTGTAAAAATGTGAACAGATAATGGATTATTGGCTTGAAGATAAAAATGTCGAACTGCCAGGAGAAAAATGTTTTTTACTTCTTCATCCAGTAAATGGATGCATGACATTAGATGTCTATAGAACTTAAATTTATATGACAAGGATTGAAGTAGCAAGAAGCAATAAGGCTGTCTGTGTGAAATAGAGGGAAGTGAAAAAAACAAAAAGGTGGTGTGTGAGACATGTGTGTGTGGGGATTGTTTCAAACAATCATGTACTGGTTAGATAATGAAGGAACTGGCATGTTTGAGAAAAGAAAGGAGAGGATAATGAAGGAACTGGCATGTAGGGAAAAGAAAGGAGAAATATAGTAGAAAACTATATGTGATGAAAATAGACATGGTCTGATAGAATTTATGGAAGTCAAATGTAAAATGTTTAAATGATATGAACAGTTTTAGAATAAAATAAGGCATTGTATGATTGACAGGGATTAACATGATATGAAGAATGTTTTAAGCAGAATGGGGAACAATTCTAGATTTTGATAAAATAATGATTGAAATGATGATATATCTGCTTTATTTTATTAATGTTAAGAAAATAAGGGTATTGAAGCAAGTAGCTATAATGGTTGTCTGTGTAATTTACGGACTGAGTAATATAATCTGTTTTGGAGAAACAGTAGAGATAAGACTGAGACAATAATGTGATGGAGGAAAAAGGCTTCAAACCAGTTGTAATGAAAATAATGATGTAGAAATTGTTACACTTTATGAAGAGTAACGGAACAGTCCGGGAAAATAAATAAGTAAATAAATAGTGAGACAGAAGAGAGCAAATGCTGTAAACAGCTCTGCTCTGAAGATCTCACTTTGAAGAGATTTGCAGATGATGTTTTGTAAAAGATAAGCGGGGATAACAGCAACAGTACTTGTAATTAGTGTTGTTGATGATAATACCAAATTACTAAGGTAAAGACAGAAAACAAATTCGAATATTTTGAGCATTTTCTGTGCTGCTCATGAAATTATGTTCTGCCAATAATAATGATAAAGAGTATGATTTGGCTATTGTGATTTGAATCCGCCATTGGTGGATGGTCAAAGGAATACAGAGAACTGCTTATCAGTGGGTCTGTTTACATTCCTGAATGGGACACACTGCTTCAAGAGTGTGCAGTTAGTTGGAGCCGTTTGCAAGCTCACAGTGATCAAACTATAGTCAAGGACAGGTGTCTGATGCTGAAGTTGAGGCTGAAACAGATTCACCAGATGACAGAGAGTGTTTTAATGGTGGTCATCAGGACAATTTAGTAGGTAACTGTAAATTACCACCGAGAAGGTGTTTAAAAATGTGATAAAATGACAACACATTTCTGGTAATAATATTGGTTTGAAAATAGATCAGTGTTTAAATGACGACAGTGACAATTTTTGGTCTGAGAAATAAGAGATAAAAAACAAGGTCAAAAGATTGAAGTCTTAAAGTGAATCCTTTTGAAGAAAAGATCTATAATAGTAATTTTTATAAGTGAATTGAATACAGGTTGATGCAAAATGAATGACTGCAACAAATGTGAGTTGCAAAATATAGTAAAGGTAACTAGAAGGAGAATTGTGTTTTAATTAAGCATTTTTAAAAGGGTTCAGGTAATATAGAGAGACAGATCTCAAAGATGATTTATAATAACTGCAAAAGAGGCAGTAGCCTTGTAAAAGTTAGTGTGAATCCTGATTGGAGACTGATAAACTCCTAGAAGAGAAAACTTTGAGGTCAGATATTAAGTTATGGTAATTGAGAACTTGACAACTAAAATTGAGATTGAGAAATGTGAAACGTTATTGAGAACTAGAATAATTACCATTATGTAAGAACAAATAAGCAGAAGCAGTGTTATAGGATTAAGAGTTGCTAAATGTAAAATGTATAGAGAGGCATTTGATTAAACAAAAAAGGCCTGCTAGTGTTGACCATGAAAGAACTAGAAGCTGATGTTTTGCTTTCAAAAGATAAGTTTGCTATGGGCTGTAATGAAACAGTTCGCTTATCTAAAATCTGATGTGTGCTGTGCCTGAAACTACCAGTGCGACAGAGACTCAATCTGAGTGGAAATTTGTAATGCCTAAATTTCCTGATGTGTGGGCAAAAGACAAATATAAATAATATGTTTATTTGAAACCGTATGTAATATCTGGCAAAGATGCCTTAAGCTGGGATAGAGTTAAAAGATGATAGATAAATGTTTGATGTTAGAAGTATATGAGAGAGCAGTGTACCATCCAATAGAGTCTCAGAGTCTCTCTCATTCAATGAGTCAGCTAAAAGCTGGTATCTGTGATAATAAGTAAAGCACAGTGTTTCAGTTGAAGAATCATAGACACAGAGATGGTAAAAGAAACCATTTAGAGAGCAATTTGTTTTAAAAGTAAAACTGAATGACTTTAAAGAAGTATTTAAAATAATAATACAGATAGAGATGACATTTTGATTAGCTTATTTTAGGACCAGTAACTTCTTTGTCTGATTTAGTCTCCACCATTCAGGACCGATGGCTCCGGCTACAGATGAAGTACACTGAATGTACGGTTGTGATCTAAATTCACTGAGTATAAATCTAAGCAGCTAGGTTTCTGCTTTTAAGATGGTTAATGGATTTAAGTGATTAAATACTGTTGTTATTAATCTGTCTCCCTATGTGAACACTATTAGGCAATCGGAATGGCTCTGGATGACTCTTGAACGTGCCTTTCCTAAGCTCCAGAAAACAGCTGAGTTCTGTTGAAGAGAACTGATTGTGTGATTGGAAAGAGCGGTCACCAGTGGGCACGAGTGGCCATCTCTATGACGGGTACGACCTTCTATTGGCCTGACAGGGGGCAACCCAAGCCAGAGTGGATCACGTAAAGTCATTGGGCATCTCCTGAATGGAGGTGTGTTATGTGAGACAGGTATGAGGGTTGAGCAGGAGCTGTGAGGCCAGCAGCGTCCTTATGGCGTTAAGGGGAGATGACGCGGTGACGAGTCACGGCATGTCTCCCCAATAAAGCAAAGCTCCTCGATATATACCACTCGCCAGAAGAAACCGCATTAGTTGTATGGCTTGTTTTCTATTGTGACAAGCGTCTGCAAATATGCCAGGGGAAAACACCCTGATGGAGATTATAGATAAAGGGCGAACAGGAGTGGGCTTTCAAGAGCCAGCTGAGGCCATGAAGTGATTCCCATTAGTTGTTGTGGAGACAGTAATAACATTTTTTTTATGTACTGGTTGCCTTATGGGCAAGGAAAATCATAGTGTTGATTTTGAACTAATATGTTATAACATAGTTTTAACTCTTGAAGGTCGTTAGACATGGTGGTGGCTAAAGATGAAGACAGCTTTTGTAGATTTGAGAAAAGTCTGGATAACAAAGGTGAATGGTCAAAGGTTATTGTAATGAATACAAATTTTGTCTAAGTTACAGCCTTAGGAGGCTGGGGGGGGGGAAATATTATTTGTTTATAGTGAGAGAGACTGCTTGAGCGGAGGAAGGGATGGTAACTGTGTCTGTCTTTCTGTTATCGGCCTGCTAGAGCAAGCTGAAGCAAAATAATGATAATGAAACAAAACAACCCAGCTGACTTGTCTAAAAATCAAATGAATAATGAACAGATGTAAAATTAGGTAGAAGTGTAGTGGTAGATCACCATCTGGCATGGGCTGAGATAAATGAAAATGTTGTAGATTTGAGGGAAACAACAAAGTGACATATTGGCTAAGCCAACATGAAATTATCAAGAGAGCCCCTCACATTTATGATTATTGTGAACAAAGGGGGAGAAATGATTGACTGACAATGACCAAGTCTGTACAGCACGACCTGACCTGATAGAAACAATTGATGACTTTGGAAAATGTTTGTAGATGACTGACTTGAGAGACCAAACAACAGGCCTGAAAAGCGGCATTTGCTGTGAGACTGAGGGCCGTTGCCCTTCAAATACTGCGAGAAGAAGATGAGATTGTGGCTTTAAGTGAAGAATGTAATATTTTTGTTTCAGAGACAGGGAAAGATGTCTGGAGGAAATTTGTCTGAAGGACAATGTTTGGATTAGTGTTGATGGCAAACTTTATCAAAAACACTATGTTAAATGTTATGTTAAATTGATGCTCGAGTTGTGTCGTGCATCAAAAGGGGGATGGTATAACAATTGCCAAATATGGTTTATTAAGGGGTTCACATTTGCTGAATAAATGTTGGGAGAACACTAGGGGTATTTGGATAAAAGCCCTGAAAGAAGCCATTTTTCTGCCTAACAAAATTGATGTCTGTGAGTGCCACACACACCAATAACAAAGATTGTTTTCAACAGGAAACGCCAGGGCATCGAAGGCCACGGGAGAACAGTAGACAAAAGAAACTACGTACTTTACTATCTGACAATAACCTCGAAATTAGTTTCTCTTTACAGAGAGCATGCAGGATTGGGAGACAGAGCAAAATGTGCCCAATAAAATAATGGTTATGGATGAATTTGGCTAACTGTCCTGGCCTGGGTTATTATTGTGGAAGAAAGGTGCTACACCTGCGCAGCGCATAAATTAAAATTTTCCTTTTACAGAATGTCAGGATGGATTGCATCAAGCTGAACTGATTCTGTTTCCAAATGTATGAATATTGACTTGTTAACGTAAGCAAAGTGGATATGTGTTTTCAGGGGAAAAGTACTCCGAGTGCTATTAAGTGAGCAAGAAATTATCCGGAGATAATGTTTCAGGTTGTTGATTCCACAGGTCACACCAAAGGGGACGAGCGGCTAGACAAGCGGTCACTAACAAAATACTTAAGGTCTCCATTCACAGGTGACAGTTCACTCCAGTGGGGGTGCGGTCGTGATATAAGGGAAAACCTTATAAGGATCAGAAAATGGTTGGAGAGTGTGACACCTGGGTCCAAGCCTCTCACCTTAGACAACACCGACAGGCCACAACCATCCCATAGTCCGTGGGGCGAACGAGATGATCAACACAACTGATGGTTTAAGTTTAACAGAAGAATCTGTTTTTGTGATGATTTTGTTTGATTGAATCAAACTAGGTATTGATTTGATTGTAAATGTAGAAAATATATTGATTGTGTCCGTAATGGAAATATTAGAGTTAATATTGAACAACTGCATTGGTTAGAAGAATGGATAAAATTATAAGACTTCTCTGGTTAGATTTTGTTAAATATGGCATTAAATAGAGCTTACTAAATTGAATTAGAAGTGAACAAAATATGGTTAGGAAAACCGAGGTGAAATATGGAGATGGGCGTAGAATAATGGAAAAGGCTTAATGATAGGAGTTAGGATTGTTATTCTAATAATTTTGTTATTCATGGGTGAATATGATTACAGTGACAGGTGAAACATGCTGTCTGTTCAATTGGTGAAAATGACAGTCTATCCCAAGGATGAACAAAATTATGTGACGATACAGGTAGCGGGAGCTACAGTGAGATATGTGTTAAATGTATGTTCTGTTTGTTTTTCTTCTATTTGTTTATTTTCTGAGAAAGATTAAGGGCAAAAGATTTAAAGAAGGTTACAAGCAGCGGTCATCCGTGTTACGAGATGGCGTACAAAGATAGGGTTTGAAACTGAGTGATTTTTATTATACTTTTATCTGTTTGTTTCCTTACTATGTTATAACTACCTTTTTCCTTACTGGCGTGACTGAGGGTCTGTTTACAGGAGCGCAGGAACAGAGATTTCTCGCTTAGCCCGGCGTCGTAAAAATGTTTACTTGCTAGCTAAAATATTACGGGGCCTTTCCCCCACAAAAACAGCCTTATGCTTCTTCATTCTAAACTTTTCTTCACAGGTTCAAGGAGAGTGATCATTTATGCAAAAAATCAGAGATGAAGAGTATAAGTGTGATGATATGACTTAAAATTTGTCTTATTGTTTATTGTTATGATTATGGGTAATCAGAATGATAAAAAGCGGGAATTTGTTGTGGAAATTTTAATAGTCATTGATCCCTAACAGATATCATAAGAGAGAGAACCTATTCAATGTGTAAAATATAGATGATTCAAAGAATGTCACATGTGTGTCTCTCACTTGTAGTGAGAGAAGATTCTGTTTATGTACCTGGGGAGGCAGAAGAGGGAGACACTCCAGAGAACAGACGAACAAGGACCTCTGACCTAGATGTCAGAAGGCCATTTTGGTGCAGGGGGGCTTATGGGCCAACTAGTGACGTCTATGGAAAACTACTGGGAGGAAGGCTCTGGGGGGAAGAAGGCCTTGAAACTAAGATAAAAGCTAGTTCAGTCTGTCTGGGGGTGGGTCACTCTTCTGCACAGGGTAACAACTGTGTATTAGACTGCTCCTATTCTTGCAAGAATAAATACTTCTATTTTATATAATTTGACTCTGACTGTCTCTTACGCAGTGATGTTTGCTTGAGATGAATTTTTGCCACAACAATGCCTTACCTCAGCTCTCTGATTTTGTTTAGCTGTGATTCTCTCCTTCTCTTTGCACTCGTCCTTCTAAACGAGAACGAGATTTAATGTACAATACAACAGTATGAGAATGCAAGTATGAAGCTCCATGTATAGCTGCATAAAACCACATCATAAAAGTGGTCTCTCATTCTATCATTGCGTTTTTAAGGGCAACAACAATCAGCCAAAAAAATTGGCTTTTAATCAGATGAATCTAAAATCTAAATCAAATTAGTTTGATAAATCAGATAAAAAGCCATTTTTCTTCATGTATTGATGAAATAAAGAAGTCTGATTACCTTTATCTGTAGAGTGGACAGTAGAGTCTCCAGTTTCTGCCGTTTACCCTGAAGCTCTTCCATGCGGACCTGGAAAGCACTGATCAGCCCTTCCACCTCCTGAACTCTCTCCTGATATTCTGCTTTTAAAGCCTTCCATGCAGAACGAGCTTCATTACCTGTGCACCCAAATCAAGGCATAATTTCACTGCTTTGTTTAGCAATAAACAGTCGTGTACAATTATCCATGATGTGTGTGTTACCTGGGTTTTGGGGACATGGCTCATTCAGCAGCTGATCCACTGACTCCAGACCTGCCAGCAGCTGGATCATGTCATGGACCACACACAGCTGCCTGAATATATGCTTCTGTTTTCGCCTGCAGTCCTACGCACACAAACAAATGCCTTAAAGTCAGCATGAAACGCAAGTTGTGACAGTCTTTTCTTCCTTGTTGTGATGTATATGCGAGTGGTAAGGCAAGAAAACAGGAACAATTTAGGGTGAGACTTGATTTTGTCCATCTGGAATTGATTGGATGGTTGTAGTTCATTGCTGTGATGTCATGTGAGTGACAGGTTGCCCCGCCCTCGCGTCAGTAAACACGTCATCAGAGAAAAGAGATGTCATTGCAAACGGAAGGGAAATTTGTTTTGTTTAAAGATTACAGGGGCAGATGAATTTAACAAAACAGTAATTTGCATGAGTAAATCATTTAGAATAAATACTGCAATATTCCATAAAAAAAAGAAAAAGAATTGACCCTACGATAAGCCCCGCCCTCCCTAGTTACTGTTTCTACGCCTGTCAAGTTTTTGTGCCTGGCACGTCTATTACAGTGTGTATGCACCGGTGTCAGATATTCCCAATGAGATAATTAGTAATTTTTGGCGAACATGTGAAATATCTGAGAGAGCAAGACAAAAGGGACTGCAGTATGCATTCGAGGGATATATATTCACGACATAGTATGCAACCGATTAGAGAATAATTTCATAAAAATTTAAGCTAGCTAAAGCCTATAGTCCCAGCGCAAGGCCTCATACGCTGACCATTCAAATGGGAAACACACAAATTGAGGAACAGCTATGTTCGTGCACAGCAGGGTAAGTGATGTGAAAATAATCTAATAATTATAAATCAAACAGGAAATAAATCTTGTGGAATAACACCGGGAGAGCCGCGGTCGGATTGGGTTAAAGTTAACGTTACTCAGTCAGGGGTAGTAGGCTGTCGATTAACAAAATGCCGAAATGTATTTTAAAGTATGTCAGTGAGCCTCCATCTTGTCTTTAATCATCTTATTTTACGTTAAAATATATGCATTATGAACAAAGAACCGTCATTATTTCCAACTTCCAAGCAATAGGTGTTTTTGTTAATCCTGTGGACATGTAGTTGTGAATGGGGTCTCACACACTGCTTGATCCACGCCCGGCATTTCTCCCTTCGGCTTTTAGATTTTCGGGAAGGAAAAAAATTTCACTCCCCCGTCCAAACTTTTAGGATACCGGGTATCAGATTTGCACAATCCATACGCACAACGCTTCGGCATGTTTCCCTTGCTCGAAAGCTTGCCAGACCTCCCGCGCCTAGTTACGGTTGCTAAGACACGATTGGCCAGTGGTGGTTTTCGGGCGTGGCTTAGCGAAGGGTCAATTGTCTACATACTGATTTCATGGTGACTTTAAAACATCAATATTTTATTACATAATTTGAAGGAAATCCTATATTATTTTTTCATAGCAGTGTTTTTTTAAGGGACATCATCGTCATAAACTGCAGTTACATAAATAAAAATTTACCATCAGATAAGGAGCCATAATTTCTCCCTCTCCTGTTTCCTGCAGTTCGGTGGTGTTGCATGATTTCAAGAAGGAAGGGTCAGTCCTTTCCAGAAGTCTGAAATCAGAGACTATTATTTATTCATATACTGTCTTTAAAAACTACCATGGAAAAGGTTTTGATATGCATGAATTAGCAAATCCCAAAGGAAACTTTACTTTAAAAAAAAGAAAGAAACCAAACCCTGTATACACAATTAATTATCAATTAACTTAAGTGGACATGCATTTAGGGTTGTCACTCTCGTGCACATATATTGTCTTACATAATGAAGGAAATTATTTAATTCATCAAAATGATCTTGTGAAAGTTCCTCAGTGTATTTCAAATAGTGACGTAGCAACGAATTTACGCTGTCACAAACATGATACAGAGTTATGAGAACGGGTGGTTTGGATGCAAAACCAAACCCTGAATGGTTAACAGTGATTTAAATATCTACGTAATGACGGCAGCGGCTAATACTAACTTAAATGGCCATCGTTTCACTGTAACAAAAATACCTGAAAACTAACGTTACAATTACAACGGTGACTTTGTAAGAAAGACACATTTTCAGGCCTTTGTACTTTCACCACACACATAAAACCATTTTCAAGTAAACCCTTGATTCCTATAGCATCAGCGTAATTTAAAAAAGTATAAAACACCGTAACATTAGTTCTAATAAACGCCGTTTTCCTTATAGTTTGTAAGATAATACTCACGCTTCGCCTCTCACCGTCGCCATTTGTGTTTTGAAACTTACCCGCCTAACGCTGATTGGTCAGAACTGCGAGGCTTCCTCACAAACGTCAACCAATCATTGTCCATGAATGAACCACGTAGGCCTACTTGAATCATAGACTGTAAAAAATGGTGGTTTATATATATCTATGGAATGTACAGCCAAAAAACAATACATTAGTGTATTTACAATATAGCCTAATCATAACATGAAATACATATTTTTCATTTTGTACATTATATTTAGTCTATTTGTAGTATCAAAACAAAAACGTTTCTGGGTTGTGTTACGTCTTTTACATTGATTTAGCCTATTTAAATAAAGACTTAAAGAAATACAATTTTAATGCGTATAGCAATATGTAGAATATATCAAAAGCTTTGTCATTTAGTAGCTAAAGAAAGTTAAGCATTTCTATTTCAGTCGCTCATCATTACGATTTTTTAGCTGAATAAAACTTGAAAAATTAATAGGCTAAAATGTATAGATGCTGGACAAAAAAATTATACCCTTTAAATAATGAATTCTACTCCACGATTAAACCGGGGGAGAGCACATTTCCGTTCTTACTGGATTAAGGCTCATGTTTTAATTGCAAAACTTCCAAAAGGTATTAAGATTATTAGTATTATAATTATGAAGAATATTAGCCTATATAAGTTTTCTATCGTCAATGCCTGTCTCATTTTTCAGATTAATAGGAGACCATAGCTGTCAGACTCCTAATAGTGGGAACCCGTAGCCTATATGCTTTTCAGCAACATTTATACAATAAAACAATTCTTTAAAAAAAGTAATGAAAAATGCAATAAATGTAACAAATGTTATTATTTTTAAAATATCACAATTTCCCCTGATTTCAAAAAAAAAAAAATCCTTATTCCTTATTCTGAGAACACCTCAGTATAAATCTGTGTTGTCTCTATTATGTTAAGATGCTTACTCAACTATGAAAAAAATATGATATGGTAGTTTGGATGCCAGAATTCTGTCAAATTTATCTATAAGAGCTTTTTAAAACTAAAATACAACATCATAGAGAAAATTTGTGCAATTGGACCAACAATGGATTAATTACAACAAATCCTGTTCTAAATAATCTACATTGATTCTATGATGACCCAATTTCTGAGAAAAATTAGCTGCATTTATGTCAATTTTATACCTCAACCTTAGCATTAACATTAATTCTCTGCTTTTTTGTATTGTGTTCTTCTATAAATTCAAGTGTCAAACTGTAATTTAAATCTTTTATGGACAAAACTGTCTCTAGTCTATTCAGCTTTATAACCTCCTTTACATCAAACGGTATGTTTTTATAAAATATGACAGACAAAGCTAGATGTGCCCAAGTGAACACAAACACAGTCCAGGCACAAGAGGACACCAGTTTACTCATCTTTTATTGTCACATTCATATCTATGCTCTGTATTCTTTACAAGGAGTTCAAACAATAGTGGATGAGAATCAAAGAACATCAGGCAGGCAGAGGCTGAAAGTCCCGATAATGTCTGTGGCACCTGCTGTGAGAAGGGTGAAGGGATAAAAGGTAGTCTCCTTCCTCTCTCATCCCCCTAAAATGTGCCCTATTTAATTCAACCAACCTTCACTCTCTCCTGTTGCATTATTACAGGTGAAATGAAACAATAAAAATGAAAACGATTTCAACATCATGCTGCTCTGTGTGGCCTGAAAAGATACTATGTTGCGGTTCACAGAGAAAAAGAGAGCAGATTCTATTGCAAACATAAGAGATACAATCCTATGTCATTTCTTAAAAAGCCATCAGAAATATAAATCAAATAGAAAGATGAATTTGTAAGTTAAAAAAAAAGTCAGTTTAATAATAATGGGAAAAAAAGAGACTGGATAGTGAAATTGACATTTTTATGTTATTTCCCCTCCCACATATCTATTCCATTTCCAAATTCATCCTGAACAATTTCAAAAACAACTGAAGAAAAATCATCTTTGGAAGTAAAAGACTCCTATCATTATGGAGATGTTGCTACCCAGTTGCTTAAGTAATTTATTATTATTATTGATTCATTAAGCCTAACATTTTCAAAATTAACTTTTTGTGTCCTTTTTTAAATTTTATGTCATGTCCTATATGTTTGTCTTTATTCTAAGAGGTAGATCAACCAAAAAAGAAATTCAAAACACATGGTTACAGGCCTTTTGATTCAGGCCGTGAAATCATAAAATGATTAGGACAGAAAGTTAGTAGAAGCTCCGGGCAGAATTGCCATTTTATTGCTGATTTAAATCTAGTTTCAGCAACAACAAAAAAAGAAAAGAAAGTGAAGTGAAGCTGTTTTTAAGACCAGCTAAACAGGAAGGATTGTTCTTGGGGTCAAGGCTGCATGGCGTGGAGGTAGTGGTGGTGCCATCGAGGTGGGAAAGGACACAGAGAAGATAGCGCAACAGGCACAATTGTGTGTTTCGTCTACACCGAAATCCTCAGTCACTCTACGAATGCTGGCCGAGTTACATCTGTGCCATGATGTGGGGAGAATTCTAACTAACCTTAATTGTGCACTAACCGAATTTCACAGGTTCCTCCTCCTCCCGAGCAAACCATCACACCACACATCCGTTTCCCGTCCTGCCACCTCGCCCAGCTCGAAGCTCGAGTAGTAGGCTATTCTATCCAAACGTCTACAGAAATGAAAAGCTCAAAATAAATTAAAACTCAAAAGTAAAATGTAACATGCACTTTCGCTCTCGTCTGCTTGATAAAAACAATCTTATGGCTAAGTCTTGAGGTAGCGTTCCTAGTTATGTGAGGTTTGAGTCGTCATCTGTAGCACCCAAATGTTTTCCTCAAGGAGAGGCCAGAAACTAACACGGTGAGATACAACAGTGGCATGCAACGTCGATATGATAATCACACCAAACTATAAGCTGCGCTTCAACCTGTGGTCTACATGTAAATCTATGCACTGCAATGCAACTTTTCCCAGTGGACACTTAACAGTCCGTGTGACAAACAACAGCCATTCGTTTGACTCGTCACAGAATTGCATAAGTTAACAACATACTATCTTTTTTCCCAAGCTCAAGTATGCTAGCGAAACGGTTCTACTGCTTGTTCAGGCCCTCGCCACCAACAACAACAACGTGTGGAGGACCTCGAAATAAAAAGGATAGAAGAAAACATTTCCAAGTGCCAAACAGGAAGTCGACTCGCGGTACTCAGGGAACCGTGTATCTCATATATAGCACTGCATCCATTCCTGACTGCATACAGTCTTAATTAGTTCCTTTTTTCTGGAGTAGTACAACAACAAAACACAAAGAGAACCCCAGTTTGGCACAGGTATTACATGAAGAATGAATCATTTGTTAGTATTTCAAATGAACTAGTACTCTGGATTATAGCTAGGTTTCTCCTTGATCAAACTACATAAATGGAGACAATTTGAGAGAAGAAAATTGAATGAGTAAAAATAAATCGCAAAGAAATTCAACATCAAACGACTGAACAGAATGAAGAAAACGGTCACAAACGAGGCCAGCGTGAGAGAGGGCGTTCTATTCCAGAACTAATGTCTCTTTTGAATCGGATACTACTAACGCAAAACAAAAATGAGCGGATGAAGGTAGCGAGTGGTGAGTGGGGGTTGGGGTTGAAGAAGAAGGGGACAAATGTGACATCTAAAACCTTTACAAAATGTCCACTGAATTTGTCCAGGGCATCTCCATATCATCGCTTATACCTTTCACCCAAAGAATAATAATAATAATAAAAAAGACAAAATAATAAAAATGCTATTACAATAACATATCTACTATTTCGTTGTTGTTTTTTTAAACTATGTTAGTTCTTGGAGATCTGCGGTTATGTTAATAATTCTCGCTCACATATATATATTTTTTTTTTGTCTTTTATTGATGAAACAGTTCGCAACCAGATGTCATGTCCAAATAAAGCTTGCTGTCTAAAAGAAAAACAAAAAGGTAAAAACAAAAAGGCTGCTGCAGTCTGAACAGAGCAGAAGTGTGTGAGTGTGTCTTGGTGTCTGACAGAAACCTATGGGCTGGAACAGGACAGACGCTTCTTTCCTGCCTGAAGAGCAGTATGTATTGACAAGTCATTGACAAGTTCAATCCTCAAGCAGAAATTAGAAGACTAGTGTGAAAAAGGGAAGCTTTTGTAAAACAAAAACAAAAAACTAAATTAAAGACCTTGATCTGTTAAAGCACATGAACATGCTGGCAAACCCTTCGCTTTGAATTGAATGGAACCTGAAAGAACGCGGTCTGGCAGTGTCCATCCATCTTTAACGGCTAAAAGTCTTTCCTTCCTTTATCCAATTAGTATTTTATTCTAAAAAAATACAAACAATTATTCCCCCCCCCCCCCCCCCCCCCCCCCCATTATTTACAGGTTTAAATTTGAGAGATGTGAATGCTTTTATTTTTATTGATTTATTTTTTTCAATATTTTTTGCCTCCCGTTTTTCAAAAGGTACCTTTTGTTCTCAGTCAGTTTTTAAAAAATGAGTATGACCGAGGCCATAGTGTTTTTCTATGTGTCTGCCTTTTTAAAACACCCAAACCACTTCCCCAACAAAAAAAAGATTTAACACTCAAACTCAATTAGTAAACGCACTCACGCACACTTGCACAGGACAATGGAGAAGGACGAGACTCCATCCAAAAGAAAAAAAGAAAAGATGTTAAATGGTTCACATTCAGTGTCTTCGGGCCGATGATGGTCGACATGCTTTCGTTTTTTAAGCATGGCGAGTAAGTCAAGCCCTTTCAAGTAAGCCAACCAATGATGTCAAAGTCCTTTAGTGCAGAATGAACAAGATCACACCACAGGTGCAAAAATAAAATGGCACAAGTTAGGAAAAAGGCCATTGTTTTGTTTTCTACAGTCAGCTTGTACAACAAACATACGCATTAGCGTCAATTTAATTCCTGTGGTTTGGCAACGTTCATTATGCACCAGTACGAGATGGTAAGATCCGTCCTACGTCCCATTGGCCAGTGATTTCAAGTGTGACTCTTCAAGGACCCCCAGGCTGGCCTAAAGGCTGCGAGACTCACAAAACAATTCATCATTTTTCCTAGGAGTCCTTCTGAGCTCAGGTGAGGAAAAAAAAAAATCTCAATTACACTCTCCCAAACACGCATACCAAAAAAGAAAAATAATGGGAAAAAATTCAAAATATTTCTTCCTTAAAAAAATAAAAATATTCAAGACTATCAGCTTTTATATAAAACACCAGCAAGCAAAAAAGGGGGGGGGGGGGGGGGAAATAAAAAAGAAAAAGAAAAAATAAGAACAAAATTAGGAATACTGAGGTAACAATACCCTGAGGTAGTTTTTTTGTTTTTACTTAATTCATTTTATCTAATCTGTTCTAGGTTCAGTGAGAAAAGCCAAGACCCTGGCAACCTCATCGGCAAAAGTCGAACAAAGTGGGCGAGAGAGAGAGAGAGAGCACAGAAACCATATTGCTGTCCCCTGTTCTTGACCTTTAACCTTAAGGCAGGTTTGTGGAGGCTGTACCCTGTCAATCAAACCTGGCATTCAGGACGACTGTCCTCAGTTGATTCGGTCTCGGCATATTTTTACAGCATATTTATTCTCAGGAAAAACAGAACACCACGTCTGAAGGCCAGGTTTACAGATGACAAATGCTTTTTAAAAAAGCGAATACGTAAATCACACATTCCTAAAAGCGAAACATGCTTTTAAAAAAGATGCTCTAAGTCTCGTTTTCTGAAATTACGGTACGCTCCATTTCTTCGTCTGCCTGCTCCAATGCAATGAGGGGCCAGGTTAACTCACATATCATATATATATAATATATATAAAATATGCCGTTTGGGTGTGGGCGGCGCTGCAGCGATCATCGCTGGCGTGGTTTAGGGCGGGATTGTTGGGCATCCGCACATCAAAGCTGAGCCACTGCAATACAACTGCAGAGGTCACCTTTAGCCCACACGCTTACTGAACTCTCGCCGCACGTCCCGCCGGTCAAACGGCACGCGGCCTGAAAGGGAAGCCTCCGAAAAATGCCGCAACCCTCTCAAACCAGCTGCGCGATTGCAGACGGTTAAACGTGCAGCGTCTCAACTCAAAGTCATGAAGATTATATTTACAACCTCATTTTTTTTCATCTTTTTTTCATCTCGTCACCCCCACAGTTTAGCGTGGGGGACTTCAAGAGCAGTGTTAACAACTTTGGCCCCTCCCCTCATCTCTGATAGGTAGGGAGAAGTCACCTGATTGGTGACCACACCCACTAATAAATTGGACTGGTTCTCTGCTCTCTTTCTCTCTCCCATCTCTACCTCACTGCATTTCATTAATAATACCTCTGAATAAACATTTCTATACATATATCTCTATCTTTAAAAAAAAAAACAGTTAAAATTTTTGAAGTGACTGCTGATGGCTGAGGGTCCTATGTAGCTGAACTTTTGCGGGACCTTCATTATGCCTTATTCCTAATAAGCGGCTATGTATAAAAGCTCTCACCAGAGGGCGCTCCGCTCTGACGGACCACCTCGCCATCCTCAGTCACTCCACCTGGCCTGGCATCTGGTCTCTGTTTTCTAGTTATCTCTCTTCTTTAGAAAAATCACTCTTTTTTTCTTGTTCATTTTCACTAAACTTGTGTCCCTCTTTCTCTCTCAGGCATGTTTTTTTTTTTTTTTTTTTGTCTTTTTAATTTCCTCTCAGTTTGCTCCTCGTTTCTCCCTGTCTACCGCTGGGTCTGTGTCACTCTCTCTCTCTCAGTCAGTCCGCTCGTTTGTCTGTCCGTCTGACTGGGTAGCGGCCCCGGCCTCTCACTTCCTCCTGGGTTCTTGTGCCAGTCCCTGCGGGGACCCCGGCTCAGTCACGACCTGCGGATGGGGCCCCTGCTGGCCTCCCATACCTCCTTTCTGCTGCTGCTTGACTTGTGTCAAAATGTCCCTGATCTTCCTCTGTGCCAACTAGAGAGGAAACAACAACAACAACAAAAACAGCATTTTAGCACGGTCTGCTGTACCATGTGCCAAGTTTCTGTAACATTCTAGCCAAATAAAATGTCAACCAAGCTCTTTGGGGGTTCACTCCTAAATAAGTGAAGTACATTTGTGCAGAGAATACAGAAAGATAAGCCACTAACCTGACTAGCGTAAAAGTGGCCGATGATTTTGACGATGACCTGGTCTTGTTCATCAGGGGTTTGCTCTCGGGGAACCACTACTTCAGCAGCGGTGAGGTTCTGCAGCTCATTCACCTGACCAATGAAATCAGCCGCAGTCTTGATCAGTACTGCATTCCATCATTTTTTTCTTTTAATTACTAAAGTTCTCATATATACATTTTTCCTTAATTTGATGCGTTTAAATGACATTATTTATATATATACTGTATATATATATATTCCTATACTTCAATATTTTTTAAAGAAATTAAAATGTATTCAGCAAAGATGCATTAAATTGATCAAAACTGAGAGTAAATCCATTTATGTTAAGATCTGAATTTGTATTTTGCAAATGAATCCTTTTCTTTTGAACTTTCTTTTCCATTTTATTCTTCCTAAGAGCCTTGTATCAAATTTATCAGTTTCCGCACAAAAATAAGCAACAAAACCGTTTTCAACATTGATAATGATAATAATAAATGTTTCTTGAGCAGGAAAGCAGCATATTTGAATTATTTCATTAGGATCATATGCCACTGTAGACTGGAGTAATGATGCTTTGACATCAGAGGAATACACACACATTTACATAAATACAGGACCCTTTAATTATTCATATTTCTTGATAAAATAGGCAGAAGTTAAAAGCTGAGATTTAAAAGTAACAAAGCACAAAGCTCTTTATGATTATTAGAAGGGAGGTGAGGTACAAATAATGTTTGATGTATTGAAAAAATGTGAAACTGGCAACCCTGTCTTGGACTTCTTGATTCATCGGGTTAAACATATGTAATTATACACCAAGTAAAATCAGCCACCACATACTGTCTGCCACCAATATATTGTGCACCCCTAATAAGCAATTTTCTCTGTAATAATCGGTCTCCACCATTTCGTTTCATGAAGTAACTTTATGGACACTCTTCCTCTAAGGAGTTGTCATCCTCTGACATCTATCAGCAATATGTTAATGATGTCTGACTTACAGTTTTCCCGCCCTTTCCGATGACCCTTCCTGCTGCTGCAGCTGCTACTTTGATGTGCGTCTCCAACTTCACCTCCTCTTTGGGGCCAAAGAAGTTCTCCTCCTTCAGCTTACCGTATATTCTGCCTTGAGCCTAAAACACACAGGGCTTGTTAAATGACTTGTGTATCTACTGACGGTCTTCCTGACAACAAATTCATTTCAAAAATTTGATCTGAAATGACTTTGCAAACCATGCATTCATGCAAACCTTGAATTGGGCCTCAGGAGGCCCTGTCACGATGACCATTCGCATTTTCGAGTCTGGAGCCTCTGCTGGTGCAATCTAAGGAAAAATGCATTTGAGATGTCCTTCAGGAAAAGGGAACATAAACCTCAATATTTTAAATGACATAACACAATATTTGATCTGAGATGACCCGTGACCACAAAAATATTAAGCCACACAACTGTTTTCAACATTGATGATAATAAGAATTGTTTTTTGAGCAGAATACAAACAATTACCCCCCCCCCCCCCCCCCCCCCCCCCCCCCACCCACCCACCCACCCATTGTTCCGTTGAACAAATTATTTACAGGTTTAAATTTGAGAGATGTGAATGCTTTCATTTTATTGATTTTTAAAATATATATATTTTTTGGCACCCATTTTTCAAAAGGTACCTTTTGGGAACCCAAAGAGATCAAACCACAATGCATTTTCATAAAAGTTACCTTAATAGATGCTCCAGCAAAACGGCTTAGCTGCTTGATATGCTGCCCCTTCTTGCCAATAAGGGCTCCCACGGCTTGGGCTGGGATGTACACGTGGACGGTCTCCTGTTCAGCGGCCTGTAGGGAGACACAAAAATAACTATCACATCGCACCATATGGTGAACAGCCCCGATAAAGACCTGTGCTCACAGACCATAATAAAGTAAAGATGCCACAAGAGGCCTTATGTGACACCAGTATCTATGATTTTTAAAACGAATGAATAATGAGAAAATTGGTCGTACCCCCATAGGGCCATAGGGAGGACCAGGCACAGAGTTTCCGAGGGAAGGAGGCGGCATGGCCGAGGACGGCGGGAAGAGGCCAATGGCTCCCAGGTTTAGTCCAGGGATCAGGTGAGTCTGTTGCTGGATGAAAAGGCAATGCAGATTCAGATTAGGCTTCAAATTCATGTTTCGTGGCCAAGTAAGTTACACTTACAAAGAAATACACTTTTTTTTTTTTTATCTTACGAAAACTCACATTCATTGCAGCGATGTCATTGTCATATGCCTCTCGCACTTTCTTCATGATCTCCTGTTCCGCCAGGCAGCAGGCTTCGATCGAGCCCTTCACTGTAATGGTCCTCTCTGGGTTATAAAGGGTCAGATCCTGCAGTCTGCAGTGAGAGACATTCAGAATATAAATGCTACCAATCGTGTTAAGGCAGCTCAGTATAAAATTAGGCCGCTGGTTGGTTCCTTTCATTTTTTTATTGTGTCCTTTCATTGCTTACGGTGAAATTGTGATCTTGGTATCAGTGTCTTGTTCCACTTTCTTCAGGTTGCGTCCCTCTTTGCCGATCAAACGGCCAACAAAGTTGTTGTGAGCAAGAACCTTCAGAGGCACCTCATCAGCACTACCAGAAATTAATGAAGATTGTTAACAAAGATCTGAGAGCAGACATGAATCAACACTGACAACTGTAGGATTTGAGGGAAATTAAATTTTTTAAAGACCCCCTGTGGTCAAAATCAAGTTTTTAAAATGTTGTTTATATGTCTATGTGGTGTTTTTAATATGCTTTAAGACAAACCATGTGCAAATTCATAAGTCAACACCATTACTGGAGTATTTTCTCTTTAAAACTGTGATCTAAAGACGCGGTTTGAAATCGCTGGTGTTTCTGACGTCACAAACTACCTTGTAACCAAACACCATGAACAATCAACATACTGGCGGGCTTTAGCATTTCATTAACAATGACCGCTCTGAAGCTGGGGAGTCTCCAGCCAGATTATCACGGTATATTTTTCTGTTGATATGATAAATCGGGTACATTTAGCAATATAGCGGGTGCATTATGTATATGATGTTACGATGTTATGTTATGATGAACTGTCTTTCTCCACTGACGTTCTGAGTTGTTCAAAGCATTTCTACCGATGCCGATTGTTAGAAGGCAGCTGCCTGACTCGGAGATGGCGAACGGGAACATGGTTTGTGTAACATTACCAACACATTATTAGCTGTTTGATAACACAGTCAAGCAAAAGGCTAATAATATTAATTAGCGTTATTTGTCCAACGTTGTTGAGAGCGATACATAAAACGCATTATCATTCTGATACATCGACTTGTAGACGAGTGGAGGCGGGGATCATTTGCATATTCATGGGTCAACATATACTAAATAAAGCAATGGTGTAGTTATATTCAAGCTATTTTAGGCATGAATGCACTTTTTTTCACAGTAAAAAACTTTTAAATGTGTAATTTTGGTGATCAAAAAGATGAGTTTTAAAGGATAAAATTATTGACCACATGGGGGACTTTAAATGTTTTTAAAAGTCTCTTATGCTCACCATTTATTTGATCAAAAGTACAGTAAAAACAGTAATTTGGTGAAATGTTACAATTTAAAATAACTTTTCCATTTTAAAAAATGTGATGTATTCCTCTGAAGCCAATGCTGTTTTTTCCAGCATCATTACTCCAGTCTTCAGTGTCACATGATCCTTCAGAAATCATTCTAATATGATGATTTGCTGCTCAAGAAACATTTATATTATCAATGTTTAAAAGAGTTGTGCTGTTTAATATTTATGTGAAAACTGATACATTTTTTCAGGGGTCTTTGATGAATAGAAAGTTCAAAAGAACAGCATTTATTTGAAATATAAATATTTTGTAACAATATATAAAAGTCTTTACTGTCAGTTTTAATCAATTGATTTTTTTTAAAGACCCCAAACTTGTGAATGGTAGTGTATACTGCACTTGCAATGAAAGGTGTAAGGAATCACTGTTCTGGACTTGACTTGGAGTGTGTAAACTTATCATCACTCACGTTTTGGTGTCCTTGGCCTCCTGGTTCATGATTTCCAGGATCATGCGGCAGGCAGATGAACAGCCCTCTGGGGTAGAATGGATACTTATGGGCTTTTCGGCGGCACCTGCGTTCTCTTTACGATGCACATCAATCCTAAGAGATGAGAGGAGAAGAGAGGGATGTGTTGTAAATGTTATGCATCAAACAGTGAATAAAACCTACAAAGGCACAAGCAAAATCAAAAAACATCTTAAAAAAATCACACAGGTTTGGAGCGCCATGAGGGTGAACTCTTCTTTTAAATTAGTGTCTGTTCCATTCCATTAAACATTTACCATAAAATCACACTTTGAGTCAATCACTCACTTGCTCTGAGTTTGCTTGGTGATGTTACGGATGGTGGCGCCCTCCTTGCCAATGATGGCACCCACGTATTGCGTGGGCACCAGAAGCCTGAGAGGGATGTCAGCGTGCTGATGTTTGGAGGGGATTCCCGAACCAGGCGACATCTGGCGGTTTCCTCGTGGACCGTATCCAGGGCGACGGCCATTGTCTGGGCCTCGTTGAGAGTCGACCTCAGAGTTCTCGTCGGGGATGTATGACACACGCAGGGCGTTGTTCTCAAATTGGTAACCGTTGAGCTTCTGAATAGCTCTTTGGGACGAAATGCATAAATAATATTCATGAATGCAGGGTTTATAGTAACGGACAGTCTTTTTGGAGAAAATGTCACTGTGGTGTGGATGAATGCTAACTGATTAAATCCACAAAGATTAAATCATATGGATAATTTCACAGTTCAATAGAAGTGATTTGCCTTAAAGGTTAAGAAACATCATGAATTAGTCCGATGAAGAATCCAGGCTGACACGTCTTATATTTAGCCAGTAGGTGTCACCCTCAAACAACAAAATCTCTCAATGAGAGGGCGTGTGGTGGTTTAATTAGATATTACACAAAAGACAAGTCATTTATAAAGCTTAAATGAGTAACTTTTGTGTTAAAATACTTTTTTATCCCATCTTACAGTCATGTCATTTTTTTTTTTTTTGGGGGGGTGTTCTAAAAATTGAAAACAGTGGTGCTTTCAAAACTTTGAGAAACATTGAGAATCATTGGTTGAGACATTATCTCAACCAATGGTGTGAGTTTGGGGAGGGGCTATCTGTTTGTCCGACCAATGGCAGACAGGAAAATCTATTTTGCCACTCTATTTGGTGACACTAGTGGAAAAATTCCACACTTAAGCTTTAAATTAAGGTTGCAGGGCAAAGTACACTCACTGTCTAGCATGCTCCCGTGTCCCATATGTGACGTTCACAACCGCAGTCTCGCTCTCTGTATTCACTATGGGGGAAAAAAGAACAGAGAGAGAAGCAGAGTGTAAACTACTTACTGATACTGTAAAATAATTAGCAACATGCCCAAGTGTTCATTATGAACTAGTCTGTCACAGTAATACAAATTGTAGTTTTATTTCATTAGTATTCCCTTCAATGTCCATACTCCAAAACAAATGACACTCCAGGTATTAACTTACCTTGTTCACAGTTCTCTACAGTTCCATACTGGGCAAGCAGACCATCAAGAACCTACAATGGATAAAACGGAACAAAATGAACGCAAGGAAAAATTACTGTATTTTTGTCTTGTTTTTCAGTAATAAAAAAAAAAAAAAGTCTGTCAAATAAATTAAAACATTTATTTTGGAAGCAAAATTACTTAATTGTGATACATTTTTCAGAAAAGAAGCCCTAAGATGTTAAGTGAGTGTATGCTTCAAACAAGAAAAACTATCTGTCAATGAGATAAGAAAAATAAACAATTCAAAGGGAAACCAGGATTATTTTTGTGCAATTTTTTCCTTCTCAAATAAATGTATCTTGATTTTAGAAAATAGATATTTGTAATGGTTTTCAGGAAGGCTCCAACTGATTGGTTTCACAAAAGAAATAGAGACTCAAATTTCTTACATCCGCCCTGTTTTCTACCAGTGTATAGTTTGTTTAATGAAGCTACACTCTTAAAAACAAAAGGTTCTTTAATGACATCTGGTTCCATGAAGAACAGTCGAAAAAGTTCTTTAGATTATTAAAAGAAAAAAAAATGGTTCTTTTAAGAACTGTTCTTTGACAGTTTGTTTGGGGGATCAAAATGGGTTCTTCTATGGTATCTCTGTGAAAACCCCCTTTTGTATCCTTTAATTTTTAAGAGTGTAGCCAAGAGGACGAGCCATCTGTAGTTTAAAACGGGTTTTAAACTATCAGGACCTCCCAGAATTCTCAAACTCATATTAAAACTTGTCTCATCCCAAACGAAAATAATCAGGTATGTGATTTTGTGTATGATAATAACAGGCTTAAGTTCCATACAGAACTTAACATCTGTCAAACAGGACTACACCAAACCCAGTTGGCATCAGATTGTTTTTTGCCACCGGGGTTTAGCCTCCTAGTGGCTGACATTGGCACAAGTGGCTGGCAGAAGTGGGGACTGCTGGAGACGTGCCAAGAAAGACCCCGCCCCGCAAGAACAACAGTCAGGCAGTACAACAACCATCAGATAAAACACGCACTGTGCCACACCCACGCGCGCACACACACACACACACACACAGTATGTTGATGGTGTAATCTCATAATCACACACAGATCCACTAACCTGAATGACATGGGTAAAACTCTGAGTTTAAACCAACACAGGGCACTGCCCTTGCCAGAACATGTATAGGGAAAGTTCAAACGTCGCTATTCAGAGTCAGAAATCTGCACCACAGTGACAGAATTGCACAGATGATATAATTATTAAGATGCAGTTTTGTCCACATAAGTATTAGAACATTTACATTTTAAAAAGGCTGTTTCAGGTTTCTTTTTGGAAGAGGGTGATGATATTGAAACACTTTCTCGTATTCCAACAGAATGTGCAGAGACAGCGATTTTCTTGTTTTAAGCATAAACTCAACTTAATTTGACATTATTAATTTTTTTGCAGAAAACAAAACTGAACATCTTAAGTCATTTACCTTCTCAAGTAAATGTACAAAATCTTAAAATGCTTTCTCGTATTCTGGCAGTATGTGCAGACAGGTATAAGTAAGCCATTTGTAGCCTAATTTTCCATAAAACTCTGTAAACTTTTTGGTAACTCTGTAAAAACCTCAGATTAAAACTAGTCTCAAACTAAATTAACAGCCATGTATTTTGTGTATGATATTGATAACAGGACTAATTTCATCATAGCATAGAAAACATGGCTCTCAGATTTGTTTGAGCATCCCAACCAGCACAAAATGGCATAATTGGTTTGTGGTGAGATTATGTTTGTCTGACCAATGTAAAATAAAATGTTGAAATTTCTGTTTGGTGACGTGAGTGTTGCAGAAACGACTAGACATTTGCGTTGTTGTACATGCTTTTTTTTTAGGTCAAACTTAAGATACTGTCTGAAACTATGAATGGAGAAAAGCACGCCATTTTTTCTAGGATTAGGATTAATCTATGTCTGGAAAAACATCCTTAAGAGCCACCCTGGCTAAATTTGGGTGAAGAGCATCATTGTGTCGATTAAGAAAAACTGAGAAGGTTTTACGCTCAGAACAGACATGGACACACCCAGACTCACCTCCCACTGTAGGTGTGGTGGAATGTTTCTGATCTGGAGTTTTCTGGTCCTGCAGAGAAAGAAATGAAATGAAAACGAGGTTTAGTAAAGGTTCCCATCACAAATTTTGCTTGATGAAACAAGTGTTATCAATATATCCAATACAAATTGTCAGGAGTGGTCACAGCCACAGACATTTTCAACAAAAACTGCTCTCAAGTTTACACCCACAATCACATTAAAACTAATTACACTAATGACATCTGGTGATTCAACGTCATCCAAATTCTGATTTACGCTGGCGGTTACCATTCAGAAAGGTCCCGGTCTTGTCTACGTCTAAATGATGTGGCAAGAGAAGCATGGAAAGGTGAAAGTCAAAGTCAGAACAGGGATAAATTCATCTGAACAGTAACTTCCATCAAAAAGGGTACTTAATTTTAGCTCTGACATTAATACTTTTATCCTTACACATGCCATAAGAGTGAGCAGAAATAAATCAAGTTCTTTTTTAACATTGCAAATTTTGTGCTTAAAAATTAGTTTTTTCATTTGAAGGTATTGATTAACTTTAGATGCATCAATCGAAGAAAAGAAAAATTCTAGTTTAAAACACTAGTATCATCTCAAAATCGAGGACAGAACATGTAAGGTCAATGAAAATATCTCAAAGTGATCTGATTCGGGAATCTCTTATTCTTTCTAGTTGGGTTGATTAAACATTATAAAGATGCTTGGGAGGCATTCTGTCCTGCTCGACGTTTGTGGAAATGAGGCGGAATGAGCAGAGAAGAGAGAGAGAAGAGACTGAATGTGTATATTGAAACTAGACACTGATGTAGTTCAATGCCAGCTGCCCCGGAAGCTTCCAAAATCATTGGTCGAGAAAGAGAGAGAGAAAAAGAAAGAAGTGCAAGTAACTAAAGCAATGTCAAAGCAAAGCAATGAATAAAAAGATGCAGATGGATTAAAAAAAAAAGGAAAAACAAGTGAATCAACTATAAAGTCCAATTGAGAATTGCAGCATGGCACTGCTCCATCACCATTACAATGGCACAGTTAAGAGACGACTGTTATCCAGATAACCTACACATACTGGAACACTCTGGAACCTCTAGGGGGCGTAGCAGAAACCTTCTGATGCAATGCATGCGTTTAGGATGAAGGAGGGAAATGAGTGTCAGGGGTTATTTGGGAGGGGCCTGAAACTCTGTTCTGGTGACTGAGACCAGAAACCCTAAAGACCTCTGAACTCTGCAAGGTTGACGCCCACTGGTTGACAAGCAAAGAAAATGGCGCTGTTTGCTCACTTTCTACCTCCCTTCATGCAAATGGCGGCAAAACAGCCAATCAGGGAAAAAAGAATCATGCAAGGGTGTTTCACACCACACAGACCAGCAATGTGAGCGTGGCCAGGCCACACGAAACCAAATGAAATCATGTATCGTCCAATTTATTTATATATATATATATAAAAAGGCCATTCCTTGGAGCACTTGCTTAAGATATTAGAGTATGTACTTTCTTCTTTTGTTGGCTTCCAATATCATTCACAGTTCAAGATGAAAGCAACATGTCTTCCAGTGTGTTTCAAGTAAATTAATAGCAGAAAAGCACCTAAAGATACAACAAATGTTAACAAAAGGCAAAGGCCACACAAACACCACCAATCTGTTCGCTCACCCACTGATCAATCACCTCGTTCCCCGAACCCATCCCCCAACCCGATGCTTCCGCATCCCACCCAGACTCACCACATACCCGCAACAGAGTTTTTCATCCCCACCCCCACTGCTGAAAAACATCCTTCTTCTTTGACACCTTTGAATCCATTTAAACCCATCATGTCACATCCCACCAAGTCTCTGACCAATCTGATTGGTCAACGGAATGGAAATCACGGCCACATGAAAGAAGCGAAGAGGACTGACACCCCTTTCAGTCTCTTTTCTATTGTTTAGAGATGAAAACATTTCTGAATTGACCTGTAGTGCTTCAGGCCTTACGACCAGCCATGGAGCAGTGGATGATGGGACACTAACCACAAATCTGTTAACATGCTCAAATTCTCCAGAAAGAGTTGCATGGGATTTTTCTGTATTTTATGGCGTGGCAAATTAAAGCTATGTTTAGATTTGGCTTTAGTTAAAACAGGAATCTCAACACGCATTGAAACAGAAATTTCAAATCACACAGCACTACAAAGACGATCAAAATGCGAATAAAAAGACCAAATAACAAGAACAGAAAAGAACAAGGATAGAAAAGATCGGAAGAAAAAAAAGAGATTCACCCCCTACAAGGGTCAAAGGTGAGGGCCCAATAGGCAAGCGAATAGCACTGGGGGAGTGTGTGTGTGTGTGTTAGGGTTGGTATGTGGTATTATCCTTTAGGAGAGCGTCAGCAGTGCATAACTGAAGTTTACTCATATCTTGAACTTGTAAATGTGAAACAAAAAGTATAGACATGCCTATGGCTTGAGATAAGATTCTAATTAAATGGGGGAGGGGAAGAAAAAGTGGCAAAAATTTCCGTCACGTGACCTTTCTCAACTAAGTATTGAGAGAGGTCACATGTAAACCAAAACGTATGCTACTTTTTCATTAAAGCAGTGTTTTATCTTGCAATTGGTGGTTCCCCTTTATTGTTACTTAGAGTGTGCAGCCTTTTTTGAAGCATTTCCCTAATTAGACTCATTTGGACACTTTTTAAGGCGAGGTGAGTTCCTGGCTTTTCTTGAGACAAGATTCACCAAAGACTATAGCAGAAGCTTGCAATAATGTATAGCAGTAGTAGGTTTAATCAATAATCATATATTATTATTATTATTATTATCATATTAAAAAAATCCACAATTGTTTGGTCTTTTAGTAAATAGATCTGAAATTCATACTAGCTGGAGCATCTAGCAAAACTCTATCCGTTCCACACACACACACACACACACACGGTAGCACATGATCAAAAAAAACATTAAGGGGAAAAAACTATAGGTCTTGACACAGTTAAGCACATTCAGTTCCTCCATACCGCACAAACAAGCTTAAACACACAAACACATTTACTTCACATTCTAAATGAGGCCACACCATACACTTCTATTCTAAAGTTTGGGATCAGTAAGACTTTTTTCACTTTAAGAAATTAATACTTGTATTCACCAAGGACGCATTAAATTGATCAAAAGTGTTATACATTTGAAAATATTAATTTTAAATAAAAGCTGTTCTCTTGAACTTTCTATTCAAAGAATCTTGGAAAAAAAAAGATTCCATAGAAAAAAAAAGATTCCATAAAAATATTAAGCAGCACAACTGTTTTCAACATTGATAATAATAGATAAATGTTTAAGCATCCAATCAGCATATTAGAATGATTTTTGTGACACTGAAAACTGGAGTAATGATGCTGAAAATTCAGCTTTAAAAATAAGTTACATTTTACTAACATAGAAACGTTACTTTAAATTGTAATATTTTTTCAAATAAATGCAGCCTTGATTAACATAAGAGACTTCTTTTAAAACATTTAAAAATCTTACTGACCCCAAATGTTTGAATGGTAGTGAAAATAATTTATATTTGATTATAGCTATAATATAAATTTATTTTATAATTTTAAATATTAGAGCTGTATATTTTTGCTATAATATATAAGGCTACTATATAACTTAATTTACATTTAATAAATGTAATTTCATCATTACTAATTCAAAAAATTTCAAGTTTAGTGTAATTTTCACATCAATCATTTAAATAAAAATAAAAAAACTTAGGCTAATTATGCCTAGATGTGGATTATAAATACACATATAAAGCAGGTGCACCTCCACCACCCTCTTCACTAAACATTAATAAGACCTCCAGCATATCCAGATGCATGATGGGCCAGTCTCAGCTGGCTTGGAGGAATCAGCAGGGCCATCTTCATCAGATGGAGACACATCTTATCTTATATTCAAAAACACACTCCGAATCCCTGGAATATCAAACACACACACACACATACACACTAAACTCACCTGCCTGCTGACAATCTTTTACATGCACCTTAGGGTTAGTTTGTCTTATTTGATAAATCAACAAAATGTATAACATATTTTACTGTCGTATCCAAACTTTTAGATACCACAGTAAAATATGTTAGCCTATACATTTTTATACATAAAAATGATCAAGCGATAAGTGTGTACATATACAAAACACACTCACAACACTCAACATTTAAAACAAACAACCCTATAGTGCAGAGAACAAATGTTTCGCTGACATTAATTAAACACACAGGCAGACTCCTACACCGTAAGCACTACACAGGTGCATGCAAACCTAGGTCTGTGTGAAAAGCGCTAAAATCCACCAAATCACTTTTGATGAGCATAGGCCTGTCAAAGAAGACGACACAAATCTGGAAGACAAATGCATGTTGTTGTGTCTGCTCTACAAATCTTACCATGCAATCATCTTAAAAGCTTTAGACACTAGGAATCTTTTTCTGTCAACTGTGTGTGAGGGATTTTTTTTTTTAAACAGAGGAACACTAGTTGGAGGAAGGAGCTGGGAGAAATTAAGAAATCATTGAAGACATGCACAAGGGTTTGAACTAAATACAGCGAACTACATTTTTTTTTAAACTAACAACTTCGGAGATTTAATAGAGACAAAAACATGAGGTTGATTTGTAGTTTACAATACTTCAGATACGTGTACATTTAGGTCAATGTATCCATTTCAAAGTGCAAGAACATAGTCATAATTGACATTTAATTATTGCACTTAAAGCTACAAAAATGTAGTGATCTAACAGAAATTAATTAACCAATTCCAGACCCACTGTATGAGAGGTCCAACAGGAAACCAAGCACACAGGAAGTCAAAAGAAATCACCCCTTAGAAGTCAAAACCCTCGTTGAGCAACTTCCTGTCTTGCTTTCAGCCATTTCCATCTCAGCCAATCAGAGGTGAAGTTGATAAAGAAAAGGAAAAAACGGGGGAAGATAAGCAGAGAAAGAAAGAAAGAAAGAAAGAAAGAAAGAAAGAAAGAAAGAAAGAAAGAAAGAAAGAAAGAAAG